AACAAATACCGAACCTACTATACGCCTAATTAAACAATATAAAATTTATTTATACACGATAAAAACTTTTTGTAATACAGTACATGCAAGTCGATAATAAATGCGTCTTGGGAGGGTGGGTGGGGGTGCGTGGGGGGTAGGGGGGGCTCGACCGCCGGGTTAACGAGCCTAGCCTGACGACGGGGCAGTTTAACACTCTGGGAAAGTGTCTTCTACATAATATCCTACCCATATAATGTTGGCAAATCATGATCCTCAAAATGGATTCGTATCCTGGCCGGGGAGGATTTACTGGGCACAAATCCTTAACTATAACCTTGTTGATTTAGCCTCTGTTTAACTCAACAGTAAAATGTGTACTTGGTTGTATCAACGATTCTTCGCGGCGGGGATCGTATTCCAGGGACCTGCCCGAAACGCTACGCGTACTAGTGGCTGTACAAGAATGTAACAACTCTTGTATATATCTAAAAAAAAAATCTTCCACAAAATCCGAGCGGACAGACTATTTAGCATTATTGGAATACAAACATTTGAATACTACAGAACCCGGATGAAAAAAACAATATGGAAACAATGATCCTCGAGACATTACTAAAACTCAGTGTTATAATAGCGAAGAAATGTATAATGCATTAAGCATTGTAGGTGGTGGTGGACTATATATTCATGCGTACCTCCCAACTGCTCAGATATATTAGTAAAAAAAAAAAAAAAATTATCAGCCTTACCTAGAGGGGAACGACGATGCTCACGCCGCCGCTGCTTCCTGACGACTGGCGAGGTCAGTCAATGAACCGTTAGCGACCAACCGACACAGAGACCCCCTGCCTAAAATTATTTGAACGCCATATTGAAATTCCTAGTGTATAGCGTCAGGAATGTGTAAATTAATATTAATATGCATTATAGGCCTTTCTAAAGTAGTTTATAGATCTTAATATCATACGGCCAGGATACGAATCCAGGTCAAAGTGCTGCCGAAGAGCCGGGCGGGTGCTTTACCACTACGCCACAGAGGCTGCTTCGTGGCGTAGTGGAATTTTGAATTTTGAAACCTGACTAACCTAGCTGCGCATTTAAATCGTCAGTCTGTGGCTGCTATCGCGGGGTGCTTGTGTGTGGTGCACCTGACCATAAATAATCATCATTAAGTTTCTTAACAATAATCGCCCAAATTAGCCCATCTCGTTTTTAAATTAGCCCAAAAACTAGCAAGTAGCGAAATTTAAAATTTGAGACCGCGGGGCTCTCAAAAGTAGCCCAATTCGCTACTTGTAGCCCAATCTGGCACCACTCTATGAATACTAGACACTTGGTACACAAGACGGACCCCACACATATATTTTTATCATTTCGGACACATAATTTTGTATGTTTGGTATATATATAATTGTTATATATTAAAACCACAATATAATGCTATTAACAGTTAAAATCGTCAACTTAACAGACACAGAGTTAATTATTGACGTTTAGTGACGTGATGGACATAATCCGGGCTCGGTAAGAACGCCACCGTACACACTACACATCCGAATGCCCACAAACATGATCGAACGCACAAAAAGGAAATGTATATATTTATCTCTCAGAATGTTCGGTAATACGATTATTGCTTGTGATATGTATCTATGTATGTATTAACACGATGTACTGAACGGGGTGAGAATAGCTTGAGCTACCTCATCCCTTTGTATGCATTTTACCTCAATAAACTTATTTCAATTTCAATTTCAAACACACAAAACACAATTAACACTGGACAGTTTTTGGGTAAACGCCTATTTTGGAGTTTAGACATGCTAGACATCCGACAAGCAGAGCGCAACTCCATAGTCTTCTGAGACTGATGGATGCCTACTCAATTCAAGTTCAAGTATGTTTATTTAGATAAGCAATAAATACATCTCAAAGGGATAGAGTAGCTTAGGCTATTTCTACCCCCCTCTACTTCAAGTCCCTCAAGGGGCGCACAAATGCAGTGAGTACAAATAGAAAATAACATTACAAGAATCCCATTTAACATTGGGATGCCTACTACTACTAATACAGAGATTGTTAAGACATTAGCAAAAAATGGGTATAAAGTAAGACTCATGTGGATCCCTTCACATGTGAGAATACTGTTGAATGAGGCAGTTGATGAGACAGCGAAGAGAGCTTTGGAAAAATCTCTTGTCGATGTTGTATGTGAGACAACTGTGAGACAACTTTGAGACAAATAACGGCAAGAATCAAAATGATCTAAGAGGATGAAGAAAAAGTTAAGAGAATGACAATAGTGGACAGCAGTAACACACTTACGAATTATACAATAATAAACTAATAGACTAATTCATACAATAATAAATACAAATTCGTCCTTCACTTATGGTCGAGAAAAGTCTACTTGGAAGGATTCAATTTACATGAGATTAAGAGTAGGGTACAAATATTTGTGGCAATACGGTGTTGATGTCAGTGAAAAAGATAAGGAATGTAAATTATGTAGTATGCCGCACGCTCACACCTTACATCATTATGTATTAGTGTCAACTTATTGATAACTATAGAAATAAGGAAATAAGTAGTGTACACATTAAATTGTTTGGATGTGTGATAATAATATAATAGATAGAATTCTTAGGAGCTACAAGAGGGTACCACGTATATGCTATGCTTACTATATTAACCTGAAATGAATGTGATTCTTGTACTGTGATTTGTGGATTTGTACTCATTGGATTTGTGTGCCCCTTGAGGGACTTGAAGTAGAAGAGGGTAGAAATAGCTTAAACTACTCTATCCCTTTTAGATGAGCACCTTTTATTGTCTCAATAAACGTACTTGAACGCCTTCAGCGGGTAGGCGGTTCCATGGGTTTATAACTCTATGCGCGAAAAAGTATCGTCTGTTTTCTGTCCTACATTATGGCTTGTTCAGCTTGAAACCGATGCTCCTTGTTTCTGTTACAACTGACCTTTCGAAGCAGCTGGCTGGGTCAACCTCCTACAAATTGTTCAGTATTTTAAAATTTTCGAAGAGATCATCCCTGTCATGTCTGGTTTGCAGTATTGTTAGCCCTGTGGGCCTTAACCATTCCTGGTATGAGTCAACTTAATTCGGGAATTATTTCTGTTGCCCAGTGTTGCACTTTCTTCAGAGCAGGTATGTCTTTCTGAAGGTGAGGTCTCCATGCTTGGATACAATAATCCAAGTGTATTAATCCAAGGCACAAGGGATTTGTATAGTTGAATAACTACCTTCTTTTCCTCGAAGTCCAATGTACGCTTTATTATTTCTAGGGTTTTGTTTGCCGTTTTTAATGCAGCTCCCACTTGTGCAATTTCCAGTGAATGATGGATTCTGATTCCAAGGTCCTTTTCTTCAACAATCTGCTGTAAGGTAATGTTGATTATTTGGTAGTTATGATCTTGAGGTCATCTTGAGATGATTTCGGGGCTTTTTAGTGTCCCCGCGGCCCGGTCCTCGACCAGGCCTCCATCCCCAGGAAGCAGCCCGTGGCAGCTGACTAACACCCAGGTACCTATTTTACTGCTAGGTAACAGGGGCATAGGGTGAAAGAAACTCTGCCCATTGTTTTTCGCCGGCGCCTGGGATCGAACCCAGGACCACAGGATCACAAGTCCAGCGTGCTGTCCGCTCGGCCGACCGGCTCCCCTATGATGATGAAGATTATTGTGGTCCACATGCAACGTCTTTCATTTTTCAATAGTAAAAAGCATTTGCCAGTCTTCCGACTATTTGTGTGGTTCATGTCCATCTCTTTATAAGACCTTAATCTCATTTTCACTTCCCACTTTATTGTAAATCTTAACGTCATCTGCAAATTTGATGATATGGTTTACAATATTCTCATCTGTGTCATTGATGTATATAACAAAAAGGGTCATACCCAAAATGGGCCCTTGCGGAAACCCACACATACCATGTGGAATCATACATGGTATGATGTACTTTTGAGCTCTGTAACTACTAATTCATACACTCAGGAATATTGGAAGATATACTTACGGTTCTTCAACAGCCCCGGAGTACTGGCAGTTAAGTTGACCAGACCACACACTAGAAGGTGAATGGACGACGACGTTTCGGTCCGTCCTGGACCATTCTCAAGTCGATTGTGAGTCACTATCGACTTGAGAATGGTCCAGGACGGACCGAAACGTCGTCGTCCCTTCACCTTCTAGTTTTATTATTATTATTATTATTATTATTATTATTATTATTATTATTATTATTATTATTATTATTATTTTCTACCACAGACGTGGCCACACATTTACAATGCTAACCAGCATATATACATTTTCTTCTGTCCTCCATGGACAGGGTTAGAGATGTGTTAAACATATAGTTCAGGGCTTTATTGAACACTCAACCACAGAAGGTGATTCGGTGCTTTTAAAATGCTAAGCTAACCTACATACGTAAATACATAGATACACAGATTTATTTCTAGTGTGTGGTGTGAGTCACAATCGACTTGAGAATGGTCCAGGACGTACCGAAACGTCGTCGTCCCTTCACCTTCTAGTGTGTGGTCTGGTCAACATACTTTAGCCACGTTATTGTGATTCATCGCCTGCACTGGAAGTTAAGCAAATTCTAAAAAATATGCGTGTCCAAGCCATATTTCTTACAATATTGCACAGCCATTATACATTTTCCAGATGAATTGCTAGGTATTTGAGAGTTAAAATAAACTATTCCAGATATGCTAGACTTTTCACCGCCTAAAGATGAACAGTTTTTAACAAAAACCACTAAGAACATAATATTTGCTAAAAACCAATAAAGACCACCAATATTTAGTAAAACCCAATTACTCTCGTCGTAAGCCAGAGACATGAAGGCTAAAACGAACACGTGTCGGGTGGACAATGCACTAGTCACTTTTACCGCCAAAACAGAGAAGGTTCATTATGAGACAAAATGTGAGAGGGGGGGCGGGGCTCCTTAGCAGGAAGGTCACGTGTATACTGGACTCCCAAGTCTTCTTCAGTGTTCATGTACAATAGTTAGTGGTGAGGAGGGTAGAGCACTGATACACCTCGCTCTTACACACAACTTCTCCATCTTGACAACTTGCGGGCTCTGGTCGTGTACTGCAAGGAGTCCGGTTGAACAGTGACCAGTAACAACTCCACTCAGATAATTTTTCCCTGTATTGTACTTGGTGATGGAACTGGGGGTTAATTAGGGTGTGAGGGGGCATCAACAAGGCTGTACGAAGGGGTTAAAATCAACGCAACTGAAAAAAACGGTACCTTTGTCAGTAAGTAAATAAAAGATGTTTGTCAGTTTCTCTTCTTCGGCTGTTTCTTCCTATCTCTTTCTTTGTTTTTACACTTTCTCTCTCTTTAATCTGTGCACAATAAATATTATTGTTTTCAATTCTGAAGTATAGTTTAGTTCATTTATTATGCACCCTATACACTATTCTGTAAATTAGTGGTAGCGGAAAAGTTTACAGAGGTAGACATATGATGCGCTAATTTTATGAATGCACTCTAAAATTTGTTTAGCTAAGCAAGTAATAACAATGATAATTGTATGATAGTCTGTAACTATTATACTATATAACGATAACTATAAGATGAATGCAGGTAAAGGAAAGACGCAATACATGTGTAAATATAATATTAAACTAAATTGTCGGATAAAGCCTATTCTTCGTCAATTATTAAGGTGCTGTCAAACAATATTCTGCATTTACCCAGGTATTGGGACTTTCCGTCACTTTCATATATATTTGTGCTATACTAGAGGCCTATCAAATTTTAGATTGTTGTTGTTGCCTCCTTTCCTGAATTATACAAGATTGCATGAAACTTGAACTTTGGCTGCAATAGTCCATTTTTGTGTGTTTGACCAATAGTTTCTGTAAGTAATCATTTTCAGATGACAAGTTTGTATTGTAGTTGTTTGGCTTAAAAGCGACCAACCAGCAGGTATAATTTAGTCTGAACAGTGTCCTAGACTAAAGCATGCGCTCAGAATATGTACACCGAAAAATTGATATACCAATCCACATGGCTATTTGATGGCTTGTAACCAATCCACAAATAGTATTTTGTTTTTGGCTGCAGACTAATTAATTTAGTTCATTTATTATGCCCCTCATACCAATCCTGTGGGCGGTAGTGAAAAGGGTTACAGAGGCACATAATGGGCTTAGGGACTGAACCCCAAAATTCATTTGGTTAAGCAAGTTATATATTTGTTATTTCACTAGCTCTCCACATATTTAAGTTAACTTAATTTAAAGACTGTATTTATGGTCGGTCTCACTCCCATTGTTTATTTGATAATATGCATGAAATTCTATAACTAGCTCATCAAGGCTATAATTTGATTGCTAACTTGCAAGTAATTTTGTGTGCCTGGAAGAAACGATTTCGCTTAATTTACCCTTTATTTTATTTTATTTTTTAGTTATTTTATTTATATATATATACAAGAAGGTACATTGGGTTTGTGAGGATATATAACATGGTGTTAACATTCTTGTAAAGCCACTAGTACGCACAGCGTTTTGGGCAGCTATATATAGATACTTTAATACATATCGAAGGCCAATGTAAGAGAATTAAGTGACTGATAATAGTCAATAACTGCAATAATATGGTTGTAAACAAAGCACCAGGATATATAAATATTAAGTATATAAAAATACATGATGAGGAGGGACACTGGGCAAGAAATTACATCACCATTGAGTACGTGTTGATCCGTCCCTGTGAGTTACTGGCGCGCATCTCCTTTCATTGTTGACGTGTGCTAGTGAAAGTTAGTGTCCGCTGCCTTCCCTCTGATGCTATCTCTACTCCCTCCTGTTATCTTCAACCATCCCACAGGTGTTACCTTTACTTCCGTCCGTTATCATCACAGAAAACAGCGAAAGTTATTGTTCTTAATGAGATGCAATTTTTTTTCTTAACTTGAACGGAAGTTTTAAATGTGATTGTAACAAAAGTTAAACTACATCAGTACAGTGTTTGATGCATAAACACTCATTTCAACAAAGTGTAAAATTCGAGTAAATTGGGCATTCTCATTCCTTGATTTTCTTACATGAGATTATTAACGACACGGCCGCAATCTTGCGTTACTTAGTGGTTTAAAACCACAATTATTACTATAGAATAAAGTTTTCTGAATAGTTAGGTCTAGAATAAGTTAAGTGCTTTGGGAATTGTATTTACAGCTCATCCAAGTGGTGGCAGAGCCAAATACGCATTTTGCATTTTTAACGTACTTTGTAATGAAAGACGTTATTTTCTCAAATATTTATTAATATTATTTATTATAATTTTGTCTATAGTTAGGCCTGAAACAGGTTAGATGTTTTGGTTCTTTTGGCAGTTATTGGTATTTACAGAACATGATGAGTGTAGTATCTGTTTTTAGTGACTTATGTTAGCTAAATGAATTTTGGGGGTTAAGTCCCATTATGTGCCACTGTCAGCCCATCCTCCGAATATGGGGAGGTAAATGTAACGGCACAAGTAAGTGTAATTACGTACTATTCCTAGCAGTCAGGAATTGTACTTATTACACTTAGTATTAAACCGTACTGTTAAATAATTGACAGAATCGTACCCAAAATATTGTGAATTGTTGTTGTTTAAGATTCGCTACCTCGAACAAAAAGTTCCAAGTAGCACGGGCTATGGCGATCCCGTGTATTGTGAATATTTGAGTTTACCTAAAAAGCTAAATAGAAAACCACGACCTAATCTCACCGTCTTAGTGTATGAGAACAAGCATTTTATTGCTTCTTACTTACAATTAGTACTTAACCTATAGCTATATTGATATTACAGTTTTATAAAACTAATAAAACAAAACTAAAATCTTTTAATAAATTATAAAGTAACTCAAGGTATTTTAAAATTTTGTATTGAATTATTGTTTAATAAAGCTGAAAAATAAATTCTTTATAATTAAAACTTAATGGACTTCATGGACTAAAATAGGTTATTCAGGTTTTCCTAGGTTGTCCAATCTTTAAGTTCAGTCGCCTTGTAATCCAGTTTGTGTGCGCATGACTTTAAGAGTACACTTCTTTCTTTGTATTTTCACTAATAATGTCCATTTATCCTTTGTCTCCTCCCCGGTGAGAGGTATTCTTAGGTGTGGACCATGTGCAAGGAACTTGAAAGGGTTTGTAAAGAAGTTGTGAGAAAGTCCGGGGGATTGAATCTGATTTATTATTGTATGAAGGATTTGAGGGGTAAGGTTGGAATAGGGGGGTACAGGAGCAGAGACGGGAAGTGGAGGAAGGTGAATGGGGGAGTGGGTTGAGTACATGTGAATGCAGCGAGGGGTTATCTTGAGATGATTTCGGGGCTTTAGTGTCCCCGCGGCCCGGTCCTAGACCAGGCCTCCACCCCCAGGAAGCAGCCCGTGACAGCTGACTAACTCCCAGGTACCTATTTACTGCTAGGTAACAGGGGCATTCAGGGTGAAAGAAACTTTGCCCATTTGTTTCTGCCTCGTGCGGGAATCGAACCCGCGCCAGAGAATTACGAGTCCTGCGCGCTATCCACCAGGCTACGAGGCCCCCGAGGAGGTTGTGTGCTTGTATGTTTGTGTGTAGCACTACGAAGAGGTAACAAACAGTAGGACTTACTCCTCACACTCTTCTAGATATGTAAAAAAAAAACTAGCATTTTAATTATATTTAGTTCCGAAAACTACCAATACGAATGTTTATGATTATTTATAAATATACTTAGGTATATATGCATTTATGCAGCTATCATAGATTAAATGAGGGGTTACATAGTTTTTAGTTTAGTTCATTTATTATGCACTCCGTACCCATCTTGTGGGCGATAGTGGAAAGGGTTATAGAGGCACATAATAGGCTTAGGGGCTGAACCCCACAATTCATTTAGCTAAGCAAGTTACAATCTTGATGAGCTAGTTACAAAATTCAGTATAAGTCGTCACATCATCATGGGTTCGAGATCGACCACAAGTAGTTTCTAAATTAAGCAACTGACATATGTGGAGAGTTAGTGTCACAACTGATATGTTTGTCCTGCATAGTTTGTGTTAAGAGCTATAGTTATGTGATACTAAAAAATTCCCATCTCTCAAGATGGTAGATAGTCATATATATATAAGGGCATGTGGTCAGATGTCTGTACTTGCAAACGTTGTGTACATAATGAGGAATTCCTCATGAAAACGACAGTGAATAAAGTAACAGTAACACTAAAAAAAATCCCTATTTCACAGGATGATTTGTCATACAAGAGCATGTAATTAGTAGCCTGTACTGACAAGCTTTGGATGCATTATGAGGATATTCTCAAGTGATTCAAGTAATTGCAAAGCTAATAGTACTTCATTGCGGTAGGTTACAGTGATGACATAATTCTGGTGCCCTCGATCCGAATTTGAAGTGATTATCTTGCATCCTTCTTGACGTAATAAAAACAAATTGAAAAGCAAAAAGCCTATAATATCAAAACATTGCTTCAGAAAAGAAGAAGTGAGCCAGGTTGATTAAAAAAACGGCATAAATACAAGGCATCTCCTTCCTGGAACACCTAACAACAATAATAATGCTAACAATAACATTAATGAACGGCCCACTTGAGATTCTAAATTGAATGCTGCGAAGCGAGCAAAAACAAAACAAAAAAATGGCCTTGGATGATGTAAATTGCGAGACAGTAGAATGTAGCATCAACCTTGTAGATGGGAATGGTACAGTGGTCTCCTGTTAACAAAAAAATAGGTCTCCTAAAGTCGGATAATACAAATGTTCGTGTTGTCCGTCCGTCAGGATTTCCGAGCTTAAGACAATAGGGCGTTGGTCACGGCAAGAAAAGTGAAAATGGCGACATCTTACGTCATTTCCTGGGTTTTTGCTACATATCTTTTGTTATTTAGTCATCTATTGTGGTGCAGGATATGTATGGCGAAAATATTTTAAGAGTTTTCAATGTTTTGGAGTTTAATATTCGTGTATGTAGTGAAAATTTACATCCAAATTTGTATTATTTTAGGATAAAAATTTTAATTGTCAGTCCTGAAAATTGAATATTGCAAAATTTTAAGTTTTTAGGGTTTTAATATTCGATAATGATACACAGAGTAATCACACTAACGTGACTGCATCAATGAGAAAATCATTTTTTTCTCATTGATGCAGTCACGTTAGTGTGATTACTCTTTGTGTATTAAAATAGGAGCGTCAGAGGTAGAACAAGTCCTAGATGACAGAGCCAGAGTGCATGAGGGGGCGGGGGGGATTGTGTGAAAATCCTGGTCCGGCTTCAGTATAAGCCTCAGAAAGTCCTGGTGGGTTCAGTAGAATTCCAGGTTGCAATCCTTATACCATGTCGTGGTGTAGTTGCTAGAAGCGTGTGTTTGATAACATCCACTGCATAGGTTCGAACCCTTATCACTGCTCCTATGGATTTTCTCATTCGAAATTATATTAACTGTAATGATCTGAAATATAACGAATTTGTGAGATTTCGGGAAGAGGCTTCTGATTAAGCGTCATCAACGTTGGCTTAACAAAGTTTACGTTTAAACACCATAATACCAGATAAAAAAAATCACCATATATCATGGTAAAATATTTGGTAAAAATGGATACCATATATTTTTACCATGGATATATGGTAAAAATCACCATATATCATTTACAATGTAAAAAACTATGAAAGTTATGGTTCATATTTCAAAAGCAACCTTCATACTGTCATTACAACATTAATGTCCTGCTTGGTATTCTTGAGCGATATATATATATCCGGGCTTAGCACGTGACACAGCCAGACTGACGCAGTAGCCGTCCTCTGATGGAGGGGGGGGGGGTTCAGAGGAAAGCGCCAAGCCATTATGACTATATAGCACTGGGAAGGGGGTCAGGATAAGGATTTGGGATGGGACGTGGAGGGGAAGGAATGGTGCCCCCAGCCACTTGGACGGTCGGGGATTGAACGCCGACCTGCATGAAGCGAGACCGTCGCTCTACCGTCCAGAACAAATCACCTTACAACTTAAACACAAGGACAACATCTTCCCTGAGACGAGACGTCAACGAAGACGCCTAGGCCTCTTCATTAACGTTGTATATGCTCGCGATGCACGGTCTGCACACAGGCTGCTCTCACCCATTTCTTCATCTAGTCGTTTTGATATTTTCTCTCCAATAACCTCAGATGTAACCTTTTTCCCTACTACACATTCTACTGCTAGGAGTTATCCCCAATACCGCCTTCAGTGCATCCACGCTTTCTCCATAATACACTTTAAACATCAACAAAATTATATAAATATATATGCATTTTTTTATCAGTAGTTCTTCATGTTTTCCAGATCTGTTGCAGCAGAATGTTGTATCGCGCCGTAGTGTTGTGTTGGTGCGCGAGTATTGTGTTAGGGAAGGAACGGACACCAGTGGCCCCGAGAGGCGACTTAGGGGCCCTCGACCTGCACCAGCCTATCGACGACCTCTCCGTCTCCTCCAGCCTCCTTCAGAGGGGCCAGGGCAACAACACAAAGGACCCTGACGCTGAGAAAAGAAGCCAAAGAAGAATGTCGACTGTGGTAGAGAGGGAGATAACAGAACAAGACTGGGGTGACGATCACGGGAAGATTGAGAGAAAAGAGGGTGATAGTCGCGGGCGAACAGAACTGAAAAGGGAAACTGAAACTGACACTGAAAGAGAAAGGAGAAGAGAAATGGAGATCGACTTGACAAGAGAGAGGGACCGAAATGCTCGCATGAAGAATGATAGAGAAAACGATGATAGTCACAAGCAAATAGAACTAAGGCGGGAGACGGAAAGTGACAGGGAAAGAGAAAGTAGACGAGAAATGGAGATTGACTTGGAAAGGGAGAGGGACAGGAATGCTCGTCGAGTGCCTCTTGACAAGTTGACAGATATGATTGGGGAAATTGATAGGAAGACCCGCCAGAGTTTACCCAGCACTGATATGGAACGACAGAGGGCGCTCGATCGACAAGTCGAAATTGCTAGTGAAGTGGCAAAGGCTGAACAAAAGAAAAGTGAACTTTTAAACCAAGTAAAAAGTTCTCCCTTGCATGAGAGCCTCGACAGAGAGCCATTCAGCGACAGGGAAAGGTACAACGAAAGGGATTCGGAAATGGATAAAGACAGAGAGATAAATCTGCAGAGAGAAAGAGACCGAGCTCTAAGGAGCGGGAATACTAAAGGGGATCACAGAATTAACGACAGGAGAGACCCCAGCTGGAGCGGCAACAGGGATGACGATCGAGTGCATGATGACTATAAGGGCAAACATCGCGACCACCGATTCAGTCACACAAAAGAACCAATTCTTATTATTGAGGAAGTTACCCCACAGTACTCAAGACCCTCAGACTCTCGACCTGATCACAACCCCAGCAGGCCCTTAGATGGGCGTCCCGTGTGGAGAGGCACCACTAGTCGACCTCTACAGGACCCACGCCGCCCAGATCGACCACCTATTCTTCCACGTCCCAGCGCCAGTGGCACGAACCGTCGTCCTGACCGTCCGGTTTACCCTTCGAGGTACGACGAGGTTCACTTGAGCGGATCGGTCCCTCACCAAGGCGAGGTTGGGTTTCCAGTAGCAGGAGTGCTGCCTCTTCACCCTCCGCCCCTCCTGTTAGACAACTCTCTGACTGTCGCTTCCCAAGCAAACGCAGCGACCAAGGCTCACCTGGCGCTCGGGCAGCAGCTGGGACAAGCCATACTAGCTGAGCAAGCACTGAAGGCTCAGCACGCTATTCAAGCAGATAAAATTCAAGAAGCAGCAATAGCAGCCCATCTAGTAGGTCAGGCTGCAGCACAGCAAATTGCTGCACAACATGTTGCAGCTCAGCAAATTGCAGTACAACAAATTGCAGCACAGCAACTTGCAGCACAGCAAGTTGCGGCACAACAAATTGCAGCACAACAAGCTGCAGCCCAGCAAGTTGCAGCCCAAGAAGCTGTAGCACAACAAATTGCTGGAGGAGCTACAGCTACTCGCCTTAAAGCATCACAGTTAAGTCATGCCCCTGGATTTCAAGCATCACAGATAGGCCAAGCTGCAGCAGGAACAACAGCTCCTGGGCTTTTTGCAACACCGGTAGATCAAGGTACAGCCGCTGCAGGACTTCAGGCAGCACAGTTAGGCTATTTTACAGGAAGTGCAGCTGCTGAACAACACCTGGGTACCAAAGCGATAATTAGAGGCAAACTGAAAGACGCTCTCAGAAATCGACTGAAGACTCGGTTTCAGTTGGAAACTGCTGGGACGGTTTCGGCAACTGATACGCAGGCAGCGACGCAACAAGCTGAGGCTTTTCCCTCACAGGTCGGTCAGTTCGCCTCACACCTCCAACAGATCGCTGAAGTCAAGCGTCGTCTGCGTCAGGCGCGAGAGGAGCTCTTCCGCAGATTGACATTACTCAAGTAAGTTCATCCTCTGAGTTCCCGCTAACCTTGAGCATAGGTTAGACATTGGGCATTACAACATATTGGTGTATTGTCCCATACATTTACTTGTAATTGCTAATACTATTAAAAATATATTTTGTTGGCTTACCTTAGCGTACTACTGGGATTGCGGGTCTCTCCCTCAGGCCGTACTTCGAGCAGAGCACCGGGAGTTCCCACAAGGTCTACACTCTACCCAGTCTCTTGCCCAACCTGCCTAAGGGCGCCCACCTCACACCCAACCAGGTTGCATTGCTGCCCAAAATACCTATACAGGTCTGTAGAATTTTGTCGTTGTTTATGATAGAATGAGTATTCGTGCAAAGGAAGAATCTATCTGGATGAGGACAGTAAGTCACAATAATGTGGCTGGAACTTAGAGACCCAACCCACATATCTGAAAAAAAGGAAGTGACGACGTTTCGGTCCGTCCTGGACAAGCATACGAGTTGACGATGGTCCAGGACAAGCCGAAACGTCGTCACTTCCTGTATTTTCAAATGGGTTGGGTGTCCCATCTATTTGGTTGTCACGTGTTGCACTTCTTGTTCGATATATTATTCCTGGGGAAGAGAGCTGAAGAGAAAAGTAAGTGCGTGTGGTGTTGCAGAGTGTGTAAAATGCACTTAAACCAGCCACATGTCTTCTGTGTTGGAGAATGCGGTGGGTTCAGTTTAGATCTCACTAGATTTATGACGTCTTGTATTTTGTCTAACTACTTTAGATAAATCTGGGGACAAGAATCCCAAGATAGTGGCGAGTACTCCATGATCGATCTATTTTTTATTTGTAAAGTGTAATCTACGTTTTTTACTTACAATTAGGGATCCTGGGTTCGTTCCCCGACTCGGACAAAAATGGCTAGGGACGTTTCCTTTCACCTGATGCCTCTAAGTACCCATCAGTAAAGAAGTATCTGGAAGTTAGGGAACTATTATGGGTTGTATCCTGGGGATGGTCGACCTAGGATTCTAATTCACACAGTCAATTCAAAAATAAAATGTACAGTCGTGTACATTGTGTCGAGGCGGAGGGGGCCCTTGACTCAATCCTAAGTATAGGTTTCCTGTCCCCGATCAACAAGAATTATTACTATTATTATTATCTAGAATAGAATGATACGCGATGGTTCGCCGACATGCATGTTTCCCGGCAGTCAGTTACAATATAATTCCTGCTCACAGTGAAGGAAAGTGTCATCAAGATCCTGGCCCGACACCAACCGGTGTCGGGTTGTTTTTATCTAGCCTTATACAAGGACGGAATATTTGGTCCACTCGTAGGACACATGCATTTGAGTTTTTTCTTAGGGAACAGTAACTTGCCGTCCGTGTTCCTAGAGTACAACGTATTTGGGGTATTTATTAATGTAATTAATAAGCACGCGCAACCAGAGCGCAACTCCATAGCTCTCCAGACTACAGGGTGCCCACTATTGTGAGAGAATGGTGTTCTCTCAGTTAGACTTGTACCCCATGGCTTCTCTGCTGTGCAGTGCTGTGTAGCGACATTGGTTTTCGCCTTTATCTAAGGACTCAAGTACCTTGTGTCGGATGTCTACAGATGAGGGATCGCATGAGCAGTTCAGATATCATGTGTATGGTGACATACGACGTCTGGCTACACTAGCAGATGGCAGTTTATACGCCTCGGCTGTATAATCATGGGTGGTTCCTGCCGCCACAAGTGTAGTGGTTGAGTGTAGCAGATAGCGAGGACGGTCACTGGTGACCTGATCCTTGTCAACGATTTTGATAAACACTTCCTCCCACTGCCAGACACGTCAGTGAAGCCCTGAGTTTACCCAATCATATGCGTGTGAATGGTTAAAACTGCATTCTGATTGGTGCTCACTGGGAAGGCTTTAACCTTAGGGATATTAGACGTGAGTTCAGTCATCTCTCTTTGAGCTCCGTCATCTCATTCTTGGGAGGGCGACATTGGGGTTAAGACGTGAACTCCTCCAGAGCTTTCTAGTTCCATTACTCCCTACGCCACAGTAACTCTAGAGTAACTCCTGTGATCTGCTCAACTTCCATGCGTCGGTCCAGAGAAGATGCGATGTTTTTTTTGTTTTTTTTTTGGGGGGGAGTAAAGAGGAAGGAGAGGCATAGGTGAAGGGAAGTGTAGAAGTGGGAAATACATCAATCAAGAGCCCTATAGGAACTGCGCGTGTGTAGTGTGTGTGTGTAGTGTGTAGTGTGTGTGTGTGTGTGTGTGTGTGTGTGTGTGTGTGTGTGTGTGTGTGTGTGTGTGTGTGTGTGTGTGTGTGTGTGTGTGTGTGTGTGTGTGTAATAATAATAATGGTGGAATAATAATAATAATAATAGTGTGAAATAATAATAATAATTATTATCATCATCAACGATTAAATGTTGAGATGTAAGTCTCGTCCTAAGCACACACTCAGACCTTGACAAAGCACTCAGGAGAGTGCGAAAGACTTGATGTAAATCAATACATAAATTTCACAAATACACAAGTGTGAGTTTTTATCCTATTATTATTATAACTATTATTTATTTATATATTATTATTATTATTATTATTATTATTATTATTATTATTATTATTATTATTATTATTATTATTATTATTATTGTTATTATTATTATTATTGAGAGTCACTTGCTACATGGATAGGTTCAAGAGACGACCACGACGCCTTCCTTCCACATCCCTGACCTGAAGGAGGCTGTGGAGCCGCATCTGAAGGTGGAGTACGTGGAGTACATCCTAAGCCTACCGGAGGATATCTTCAATATCATCACCAACATGTGAGTACTCATCTCTGTTACTCACATAGCCTATCGGGGGATACTTTCCTTATCTTCATTATCGCCCTCATCCCTGCCCCTCGTCATCATAGGCACCCCATTCCTGCTCTCGGAATAATCATCCCATCCCTTTCTCTCATCATCAGAGTCATCCCATCCCTGCCCCTCTCCAACATCCTTGCCTCTCAACAGAATAATCTCCCTACCCTTGCCCTTCATCATCATAATCACCCCTTCCCTGCCTTCCCGTCATCATTTTCTGTCTGTGTTTAGAATAATATTTATATAATTGTAATGTATTACTAAAATAATAATAAAATAATAATAAAATTGACGTGATTTTAATATTAATATAATTATAACATAAATGGAATTTCAATATTGTATTATTAATATATAACTGGAATACCATCTTAGTGTAGATTTGACGGGATCAACTTTGGAAATGTTGATGAATACTATTATCATATGAATGGCTCGCTGAATAACATTGCTTCTTCGTGTTCAGGTCTAAGCGAGAGTTCCTGCTGACGTTGTTCCCTCGCTTCTTCCGCAACGCTGTCCGGAACCTCACCCCTTACACTCCCACGAACGTCCTGGACCAGACGCCAGCAGCATATTTCCCCCACACTACTCCATCTTCCTCCTTCGTAGACGTACACACACACCAGCATTATCACCACCACCACCCACCACCGAATCCTGCAACGCCCCTCTATCAGACTCCCAAAGCTGCACCTGCTCTCTATCAGCCATCCCAACCTTCGTCACCCGCGTTCTCATATGAGACCCAAGCGTTTACCCCTCGTCCACCTGTCAGCTCCTCTTCTCTTCCACCTATCACTTCTACTCCACCTCACAGGGTTGTCGTCACTACGTCATATGTGCCGTCTATCTCCAGTATACCCTCAACGACACCTTTAATAGTATCGACTCTGCACCCGATCATAACTACGACGTTCAGGCCTCCAACGGTTCCCGCGCCAACGTATGGGGCGCCCAAACCTTCCTCTATATTGAGGAGCAACCACCACCACGATGGTCACCGCCACGACAATAACCAACAGCAGCATCACGACGACAAAGACCACCATCACGACCCCAGCTCCGAGGGGCAGTACTTCGTGTACAAAGAGGGTGACGACTATCACCATATCCACGTCCAGGAGGAGAGCCACCACTCCACACACCCGAAACCTCGCGTCACTGTCAAGGTAAGTAGGCTATGTTGTGTATCCCTAGAGAATTTGTATATATGTGTGGGCAGATATGAGGGCTGCTCTTCAACTGTGTATATTGTTATTGTATATATTTGGGCACAAAGGTTCTCAGAGTCCTGTCTCTAGCTTTTCCTTGTCAATCTCTAATAAGTTTTTACATATTTTTGCCACTACACAATAGGGTTCGAGTGGACACAGAGATCCAGACACACTCTACAAATTTACACTTCATTATCCTAACAAATAAACAAAAAACATAAATCATAACAAGACATGTTTACAGAACAAAATGTGTCAATCATAAAAAGTATAATTTAAACAAATATTTTATGTAAACCAAGTATTGTGACGGGTTTACATTAAAAATATAAAGTCAACTCGACTCGAGAAATGTAGAAATGTAGCCAAGAAAATCACTGAAATCAGTGATTCTAGGTTCCAGTAATTTGCTTTATCCTAACACGAACTTTGACAAGCAGCCGAGTTCCTGTCCCAATCGAGGCCACTAGGGAGATAGTGGCCCTCAGGTAAAATTTGGGTAAATGTACATTTTTTCGAGTTTAATGTTTTTGAAGTAGTAAAAATAGTATTTCTTGTTTGTTTTTTCTATGTGATATATACAGTACGTGCTTCCTTGAATAGTATGAATAAACAAATAATGAACAATTAATGAATGAAGGAATAAACTGCATGTTTATTGGTTTAAGGTGATTATTATCACACCCAAGATTTAATGATGGGCTTAAAGCCTTTCATTCACATAGTGTTATAATGACAATCCGGCAAGTTAGTATACACTGACAAGTGAGAGGGGCCCCTCTTTGTGCATATATTACATATCACTCTTCAATTAAAAAATCGTGCCTCAGCATATACATAACATAAACCCAAAACCACCTCTTACGTAAGCATATTTTATGAAACTGTTCACTTGCGCCAACAAACCTTATCAGTAAATTTACCTTTCACCAATGTTTCTACTGTAAACTGGAGCGAATTTTAGGTATTTAGATAGAATTCTTGAACCTTTGGAAACATCTATACCAAAAGGCAAATTATAATTGAAATAAAAGAGTTACTGCTTTAGATTTCCTCGTTCTCTATAATAATAACAGAGAACGTTCAAGTAACTTTAGCATAAATGCCGCTCATACTGCTGTTTCAACACTTTACCTGCACAGTGTATATGTCCAATACTTACTTCATCCACCCGGCTCGTAGAACGCATACTTCAGTTGTAATATTTAGAGCAGCACAGCCAGCTTTTAACACATTAGATTATAAGGCAAATAGTAAATATTACGCATGTTTCTTCCGTCCCGCCTGGGTTTGATTCTCGGGTGGGACATAAATGCTTTGGCGCTTTTCTTTTCACCTGATGCCCCTTTCACCTAGCAGAAAATAGGCACATGGGAGTTAGGCAACTGTTGCACTTTTGGAAAAGATAGCAGTTTGACCTACGAAGGACCTCCGGGCAGTTTCCTTGGTAAAGAAAACTGTTGCTATTAATAATTATAGCCCGAAACGCTATGCGTGCTAGTGGCTGTACGAGAATGTAAGAGCTCTTGTATATATAAATAAATAAATAAATAAAAATCATTCGATTTGGAAAAATGCTTTCCTAGTCCTTCTGTTAAACTTTTGATTTTACTACTAATAATAATTCTGTTGTAAATTTTGTCATTGAACATTGGTAACGAAACTTTTAATGTTGATTGAACAAATGAAGTTAACATTTTGAGAATAGTTTAGCTGGTTATATTGAGGCCTGAGGCCTGAGGCCACTCTACAGATGGGGACCGTCAGGTCACTTCACATTAAGGAATCGGTCGTGTAGCCTCGCTGCGCACATCACCATTGTCTACAGTTTAGTTTTAGTTTAGTTCATTTACTGTGCACCTCATACCCATTATGTGGATGGTAGTTGAAAAGGTTACAGTGGCACATAAATATTCATTAAGCTAAGTCAATTACAGGCTTGATAAGGTAGTTAAAAATGTATTGTTATATCATCAATTAATGGGTTCGAGACCGACCGTACAAGTACAGTCTCTAAACTGTGAAACTCGTCTACAGAAATACATTATTGCACCTGAATTCGTTCAATACAGAGCGGCGAAAATCATCCCAGAACTGTCAACTCGCATAACTGGAAAGACTAATCGAGAACTCATTGTTCTGCACGCAAGACAAGACAGGTCTGATCTCTTCGAAACTTTAAAACTACTGATTTAGATAAATAGCGTAAATCTAACTAGTTAGAGGTCCAATGTAACACACAAGGCAACAGATTTCAAGCTTGCTATACCTCAATATAAAACAAACAAATGTATATAGATGCTTTTCACCCACAGGAGCCACAGGGCTAACAACACTGCAAATCAGACATAAATGGGGTGATCTCATCGACACTTAAAATACTTAACAATTTGGAGGATATTGATCCAGACCACTTCTTTAAATAGTCTGGTGTAACACGAACAAGGAGCAACGGGTTGATGCTCAATAAGCCTCAATGCAGGACAGAAAACAGGAGATGCTTTTTCACCCATAGGATTATAAACCTATGGAACTGCCTACCCGCTGAAGCCGTAAATGCCAAAACATTGCTGCAATTCAAGATCCAGCTCGATAAAATCATCAGGACAAATGGGGAAAACCTTTAACAAGCAGCCGGCTTCCTGTCCTCGTTAAGGCCACTAGAGAGATAATGGCCTTGTTGTAAATTTAGGTAAATATACACATTCACACACACATAAATATATTCACACACGCACATATACATTCACACACACACACATTCTCTCTCTTCCTGTAACTACACTTAGGTATTAGACACACTCACACACACACACACACACACACACACACACACACACACACACACACACACACACACACACACACACACACACACACACACACACACACACACACACACAACAGCAGCAGTAGTAGTAGTGCAGCCACTCGCCTGTTCACCAACTCAGCGCCTCCTAAGCCTATCCTCGCCAGACTTGTCCCTTCACAGACCTCCAGATAAACACACCAGAAACACAGTGGAACCCACGTAAGTGAATCCAAGCGTTGTGCTCTAACGGTCATCACTATAGTGCACCCGTCATAACGGATTATTGCCTCAGGGATTAGCAACTAACCAAGCATGCAATTTATACTAATTACTGACCATTTTATAATCACGTGACACGCCATGGCTAATGTTCGTACCACTCGATCAGTCGTGTCAAGCATCGTTAGATCTGGGTAGTAATTGGATGGGCGATCACATGAACTGTGTTATCCTTGTCTGGGAAAATCTTGACATCCCGCATGCATCCTGATTTATAAGGATGCATGAGGATAAGCCCAAAACCAATCCATGAAAATTTAAATTGAGTTAAAATACTGTATATGTTCGTGTGTTTTGTGGATTTCGTTTTTGCAAGCGTGTTTATTTAATGGTAGCATTCTGTAGTATTCAAGCACGTTTCCATAATATATAAAATCAATATATATTTTAAATTTATATTTATTAGATGTTATTAGTTTAATTTTATTAAACATACATACACATTAATACACATACACATACACATTTAAATACATTCACATTAATAATAATAATAATAATAATATTATTATTATTATTATTATTATTATTATTATTATTATTATTATTATTATTATTATTATTATTATTATTGAGAAAATCCACTGAGGCTGCGAGGTTACGCGGGTTCGTGTCTCCTCAAAGACCTAGTGGATTTTCTCCTTGATATATATGACGTTAGTGTAATTTTCTGTGTGTATTATTATTTTTTTTCACGGCCTAGTTAGAGTTTACGTTGAAGTTTCCAAGTTAGAACTGTAAATTTTATGTACAATTATGTGTAGCAATGATATACTTTTATTTAAAGCATTGGGTGTCCTTAGATATTCATTTACAATATTTGTTAATTGTTGAAGCGTCAATTTATGTGAATAATGAGCTTTATCGGAGAGTCTTACACTAAGAATGACCGAAAGTCTGTAGAGAGTTCGATCACTGTTGTGATGTGACACAGCTATCTGCCTCTCTATAATTTCCTAGATCCCGCGATACAATTTGTTATTTACACCTGAGACCCTGCTAACACACTTCACACTTCACCTCGTTATCCTCCACAGGCGGTCACGTGACATCACACACAAGTGCTAGATACAAATCCCTTTTTTTTTTTTTGCATTACAAGTAACTTGATTTTTTTGTCTTCAGGATCCCTCCTTGGTAGGAGGGAGACCGGGTAGTGGAGTGAGGCTGCCGGTCGGGCCCTTCGTCTCCTCCTACAGCAGCCTCGACGCCACCGTCGACCCCTCGCCTCACCCAGACAAGTCTCACTTCGGCACCTTCCACGTCACCAGCGAGGGATTTGTTATACCCAGCAAGGAGACCAAAATTAGACCAGGTAACTACTTTGTGTCGTGTGTGTATTCACTTATTTGCACCTGCAGGATGGACATTTAGCTCTGGGACTTCGCCTGGCTAGCTGCCGGTCGTCTAATGTGCAATAATTTCCGGCCTAGATTTGTCCTATCATATCTACTGTACTTTTAAAGATGTGGATTGTGTTAGCTGCTACTGCCTCCCTGTATTGTCTATTCCAATTCCCTACTACTTGTATGCTAAATATGTACTTTCTCATATCTTTATGTCTCATCTGCATCTCTAGCTTCCACCCATTCTCTCAAGTTTTATTGGTATTCATTGTGAAATTTATAATATTTCCTTGTTTTCAACCCTGTCAATTCCCTTATTTTATGTCTGTCATTTCTTATCTCTTCCTCCCTCCCTTCTCTTTTTTGGCGTTGTGAGGTTCAGCTGTTCTTACCTTCCTCTGTACCCAGTCTCATGTAACTCTGGTACGAGCCTCATTGCATCCCTCTGTACCTTCACATTTCCTTTATTTCCATTTTGAGGTGGAAGGTCCAAAACGGGGCTGCATATTAAATGACTCGACTCACGTAGATGTAGTATGATGAATGCCCCCCTCCCTCCCTGTTCAGGTTCCTGAAGGCTGCTCTGATGTTCACCAATTTAGAGCACGTTGCTGACGTTAATATATTTATATATATATATATATATATACATCTGGGGTAAAACTCCTACGTCTTTTTCTTTAGTTGTTTCAGGTAGGTGGTTCCCCGCCACTGTGTGTCGTGCAGCAGGTCTCCTCTCCTCGTGGTCATCACCTTACACTTACTGGTATTCAATGTCAGAATGCAAAAACCTCCATCGTTTCTATACACGCGTGTACTTAACTCAGAAATGTTATTTATAATAATTCCTCTATTTATGTAATGTAACTTAAAGTCATTGTTTTGGTTATGTGTGAGACCCTCTTTGTTACCACTGTCATCTCTAGAATGCTTTCATATAGATCCCCAAAGTTCTTTTTATTGTCCCCAATATTTTTCCTGTACTATCTCAGCTCATTAATTAATGTATAACTTTTCCCTCCCTGCACACGCCCAGACTTTTACTAGTTAAACTGTGACGAATTATAAAATCAGCAGCCCCTGCTCTAGATAAATGCAGCCCATATTGCTTCATCTACTTCTTTCATGGACACGAAAGAGCCTCTTTCTTCAGACAGACCATTGATGCATATTTGTAACAGCATCAGACCAAAGACCGAACCTTGCGGACACCATTTGTTACAGTATGAGACCAAAGACCAAGGACCTATATCAATAATCTGCCAGATACGCCAGCTTGATTCTTTAGTTTACACACAGTTGTGTGGGGACAGTGTTGCAGACTTCAGGTAATTTTGGAATCTATCATTGTCCCATCCTTCCCTCGCTTCCCTCACCTCAGTCATGCTCTTGTAGACACTCACACACCTCTTATAAGTAGCAGTAATGCGACATTTAATTGTTATTAAACTGGGATGTTAACTTTTTCTAGATAGAGGACTGAGTAAACCGCATTTAGCTCGGCTTATTTTTACTCAAAGACAAAATAATAATGATGATTGTCTGATGGTTGTGGTTGTGGGGTTTTAGCAGCTGAGTCACCTGAATAGCGTCTTCCTTGCGTGTGACTCTGTGACACCTCTCTATGCCAGATAATAACTTTTGTTCCTTGCATTTTCTCAGGAGATTCTGTGGTAGAGTCGACGACGCCGGTGGCCACCTTTACCCCAGTGATGACTGGGGTCGGCCTGAGGCCACATGGTGGCCAGCACCAATATCTCACTCCTATCTCCACCACGCCCATCCCACCCTTATCCTCCATTGCTCCCTTTATATATACCACTACCCTTTCCACGCCTATCTCATCTCCTTCCTTCCCCACTCCCTCGTATGCCCCACCCCTCCCGTCCGTCACCCCCGCCCCACTAGTGTTCACCACCACGTACTCCCCATCAATCTCATTCACCTCCAGTTTCCCACCGATCACAACCAATGTTCACTCACCACCAATCCCATCTACCACACACTCACCTAGAATCCCCACCACCTCCTACTCCCCACCGATATCAACCCCCACCCACACCCCACCAATCCTAACCACCAGTCACAATCCACTTACCCCCAACTCCTCCCCTCCCGTACACACCTCCACTACCACCTACTCCCCACCGGTAGTGTCCACCACCTCCTCACCACCGGCAGCCAACACCACTCCCAGACCGCCCTTCGTGTCCTCTCCCCGCCCCTTCCTCACTACCACGCCCTCCTTCGAGCCAGCTACCACGCCTATCTTACACGTCACCGAGATCCCTGCGACCACCACCTCGAGTGCCGTTTTCCACCTGACACCCGTCAACAACGGACAGTTCCTCCCAGGTGGACAAGGAGGTAATGCACCCTCTGGTGCCTTACCTCACGGGAGCACCAGGGGGCCTCGACCTCTAAACTCCCTCCACCAGGGTCTGAGGTTAGTGCTACACTTCCACTTGTAAAAAGCTGCTAAGATATGGGACGTGACGTAATAAAGAGTTAGATAAAGTAGAAAATAATCAAATAATTCAAGTTAATTTTACCAGCTCATGAACCCATTCACGTGAAAATACTGCACCGGAATGGACAGAAATATGTGGGACAGAACGACAGTGCATGGTAAATGAAGCAACTTGATAGGAGATAAACCAAATTTTTGTTGTAGATAACCAAGATTAAGAAAAAGAAAAGGCACAATGTTGAACAAAAATGATGTACTTAAGCTAAATCACAATAGATAAATATATATATTACTTTCAAAATACATTTCAAAATAAATATTAGTCAAATGTAATTTAATACAATTATATCTCTACCTGAGAACATGGTGTAAACAGTCAAACAAATCATCTGTGTATGTACACCTTCAGTAAGAATGAACCAACTGTTAATACATTACATTCTCGTGCCCCTGTGTGGTCTGGTTGCCACGCCAGCATCGCCGAGGAGGTGTACCCAGACACCATCCTCAGAGGGACCTCCGGCTCCACCACGGGGAAGCTGACGACGACGACGACGGAGGTGCTGCAAGGGACTCCCTTCAGCCGCTTTCCCGGCACCGATGCCAACGACGATGACCACGTCCTCTCCCTCTTCAATAACCGGAAGGGCAACGCATCTAGCGTCGACGATAAGGTGGGAGACTTCTGAAGGTACTGGGGAGAGACAATGACAATGGTATTGTTTGGGGTTGAAGATGGTCATGAGCAACGACAAATACTGAAATACTACTACTACATCTACTGCTACTACTACTACTACTACAACTACTACTGCTACTTGTGTAAACCTAAATTATTCCAGACGACCTCTGCGTGCAATGTCACCCATTTGCAACATGGCCGACAGCCCACAGAGGTTAGAAAGGAGCAAAAGCAACACACGGTTGAAGTGAGTCACCCTCGATGAGGTGCAGGTTCCCTCTACGGGTGAACCCCCTGCTACAGGGGCCTCCAATGAACTGTGCTGGATAATTTGTCGCATGAGTACTAACGTAGCAATGTATTCCTTGCTGTATTCTATGTACAGGAGGTTTGGGGTTTGAGCTATTACTCTACGAAGCGTCATGCACCAAACAAATCAGAGTGCCGTGTAAGTCCTAGCTCTCTCGAGAGGCACTCTGTCTAATGAACACTTTTTGGGATGACTCGCTTCACTATACTCGCTTCACTATATTATGCATGCATAATAACACAGTGTTCAGCGGCACATGACACAGCTACCCGTGTAGTGTAATTCACACAGACACGTCCGCAATTGTTGTTTTAGTTTGAATTAATTCATTTACACGGATGAATAAATGACTGACTGGTTTACCAGTGACCCGCGAATTCATTAGATAAAGATTCAGTTTGATGGCCAATAGTCTATTTTCAAAATAGATTGAACTATTAGTTGATTGATTAGCTAATTAGTTTATTGATTAAGGGGTGGTTTCGCGAGCTTAGTTGGGTTTAGGTTTCTAGCCATGTACGAAATCGGTTAAGTTATTTAGTGTCAAGTTTTTTTCTGGAACACAATCCACCTATCGCTTTACATCCAGGTCCCCAAATAATGCTGGGTTCGGACGGAGGGAAGGGACGGTGGCCAATCGTCCCATCATGGCTAGGGATCGAACCCAGGTGCACAGGGCCTGATGATGCGAGGACACCGGTAGAATATTGACAAAATAATGACAGTGATAGTGACACATTAGTAGCAGTGATACAGCAGTTATTGTGACACAATAGTGACATTAGTGACGGACACAATAGTGACAGAGTATTGACAGTGACATAATACAGTAGTGAGTAACCGGATCTCTGTGACAAGAAGTGGCCATGGCCGGATATAAAGGAAGATAACGTGGGAGAGATATTCGGCTCTCCTCGTGTGATATGGTATGAATGTGTGCGTGTGTGTTAGTATGTTTGGGTTTGGGTTGATTTATAGGTCTGCACATGTTTTAAAAATACATATAAAATATTGATAACAGTAATCATCATGATTATATTGTTGATACTAATGCTAATATAGGCTTAGCACGTAAGGCAACAGAAGGCATTGAGGAACGTGATGGACTAGGGAGGTAACACGCAGGGCATGAGAGGCTGGTTAAAGTAATATTCACATCCGAGGGGCAAGTGGGCCCATGGGTCAGAAATGCGAACGCCGGGAGACGAAGGCAAATATTGGGAGATTTAACTAAATCAAAACGTCTAAACACGAAAGATAAGTGGTAAAAAATCATTAAATATATTGGAACCAACATTCATAAACACAGCCAAATGTAAACAAAATATAGCACATGGCAACACGACTACATCCCTGATACATTTCTACTCATAGTAGATTATTTTTTGTTGGCATTGCTGATGGAAATATCAGTTAGTACTTTTAGGAAAATAGGCTATTAAGAAGATAATTTACACGACTATATTGGCACCGTAGTGTTTTGGCCAGCTGAAAATGTAACGGTTCTGTTGGTAGGTAAACATCTATATTATTATTATTATTATTATTATTGCAGTCTCTCTTCTCCGGTGTCCATAGGGGACACAAGAGCTTCAGTTTCTCGAGCTCTATCCTGGGTGGTAGGCATGACCAGGATTGGCATCCCATCATACCCTTCAACACCATCCCCCAGGTCAGTACTAGCCCCATCCCCAGGTCAATACCAGCCGGATCCCGCAGCTCATTTGAATTGATATAAATGATTGAGAAAGTGCATATAAATGGCTGACAAAAGTAACCACGAGTATTGGAAACCTACGACACGAAGAAAGATTAAAAATGTCTTCATTTGCAATCTCTAGACAAGTGAAGAATAAGGGAAGATTGGACTAACGTAACTTAATGGATGAAAGGGTGTAACAAGAGGAAATTACAAGAGTGAGAGAAATGCAGCAACACAAAAACGTTAGATACTAACTGAACAAGTTTTGATTCCGAAGAGAAAGATGGATGTTGAAGATGGAACGTGCTGCCAGACAACATAATAGATGTGCGGTCATTCAATTGTCAATAGTCCGATAGACATGAGTGGTTGTGGGTGGACATGAACATTAGTTGTCCTGCGTGAGCCACTAGGCTTTGTGCAGTTCTCATTTTTTGCATTAAACCACCATAGCACAGCACACTATATTCGGTCATGAATGAAAACAATGCTCAATCCCCCCCTACTCTTGCCTTGGCAGGCTCCCCCTCCACACCAGCTGCAGGAGCTGCAAGTGAGCCCCTCACCACACCCACTGAGCCCGCCCAGCACCGTCAGTAACAGGAAGCCTCCCATGCCCCAGCTGGTGAGGGGAGACGGTGTGCCACTACCACCTTCGCCAGAAGGTCTCGTGACGTCCCCGGTCCCGCCACAACCTGCAAGTTTTCCAGGTATGTTGGACCCCTTCCCCCCCCCCACCCCCACCCTCCAAAAAATGATAGGAACTTTAATACATAACCTTTCCCCAACAGTCAAACACACGGTGTAAGAATGATGGAAGAGAAACTATTAAGACACCAGTAAACTGTGATTGGTCGGTGATCTTTAAAGCTCACTTGGAGCCATTGGTATTTGTTTTGTAAATAAATGCAATAGCATGGTTTACGTTATGCAAGATTATTATTCACAGCCCTTAGCGATCTCTCGGCTTATTAATGTTCTATTTTATCAGTGATCACTGATAATAAAATTAGTGCCCTCTCCCCCTGATAAAACCTGGGGGGCCTGTCACATGGAAGGAGAGAGAGAGAGAGAGAGAGAGAGAGAGAGACAGAGAGAGAGAGAGAGAGAGAGAGTTTTAGAGAGAGAGAGAGAGAGAGAGAGAGATGTAGGGGAGAGAGAGAGAGAGAGAGAGAGAGAGAGAGAGAGAGAGAGAGAGAGAGAGAGAGAGAGAGAGAGAGAGAGAGAGAGAGAGAGAGAGAGAGAGAGAGAGAGAGAGAGAGAGAGAGAGAGAGAGAGAGAAGAAGAGAGAGAGAGAGAGAGAGAGAGAGAGAGAGAGAGAGAGAGAGAGAGAGAGAGAGAGAGAGAGAGAGAGAGAGAGAGAGAGAGAGAGAGAGAGAGAGAGAGAAGAGAGAGAGAGAGAGAGAGAGAGAGATTGATTTTTAGAGAGAGAGAGAGAGAGAGAGAGAGAGAGAGAGAGAGAGAGAGAGAGAGAGAGAGAGAGAGAGAGAGAGAGAGAGAGAGAGAGATTGATTGATTGATTGATTGATTGATTGATTGATTGATTGATTGATTGATTGATTGATTGATTGATTGATTGATGAAGATTAAGCTACCCAAGAAGTGGCACGGGCATGAATAGCCCGTAAAGAGAGTTGCCAAAGCGGATAATATAGTGCCGCTGTGAGTCATGGAGGTGTACTGCAAAGTGTAGTACCATCAAACCTCTGGCATACAATCGTAGGTGGTAGTATACGATGCCTTTTAACATACAGGTAAACAGACATTACAAGGTGTAGACGTGCCATTTACCTGTTGGTCAATAGAGGGAGTGACAGGGTATGTGGTCAATGAACCACACACACACATATATATGCAATTGAGAGCAAGTTATGGTGCAATCATTGCTCAATCTCTGAGAGTGCACGGGGATCTGTGTGTGTGTACTCACCTAGATGTGCTTGCTGGGTGTGTGTGTATCTACTGATCAGTACTTACCTATCAGTGACTACCGGGGAGTGAGGTCTAGCTCTTGATTCCCTGCCTACTAGCATTACACATTCCCAGGATGTAGCCCACAACAACTGTCTAACTTCCAGGTACCTATTTACTGCTGGGTGAACAGATAACCCGTCCTCACACCAAGTCCATTCCGTCCAGCGGTCCACACCAAGGGACACATTCCTAAATTTTAACATGCTGTTCATTCAAAATAGGATTTTTTTTCAAATATATATTAATATTGTTATATATATATATATTAGCATACTGTGCATATTTAGACATTGGTTAGGTTAGGTGTTTAGGTTCTTTTGGCGATTATTTGTATTTGTTGTTGTTGTGAATTAAGAGGCGACGACGATCGTGGGATAGGATGCGCCCCGGCGTACCCGTAAAGGGTTAATCGCCAATTCTAATGGAGAAACGAATGACGCATATCACCAGACACTAAGATGCCTCCCGTCAAAGAAACGCACAGACAGGCAGATGATTGGGGGAGCCCCAGGAGAGAGATTGAGAACTAAAAATCTACCTCTCGGCCAAGCCGGCGTCGGACACCTTCACCCCGCCGGGAGAACCAGCCATAAAACGTTCAAATCTACCAACCGTCCTGTGACCCAAGGCGATATGTGCGCCAGGCGTCGTACAAACCGGACCGTTGAAGAGGGATGCCAAACGGCAGTAGCAAATCCAAAATCGCGAAAACAGAACGCGATCCGGCGGCTCCCAGGCGGAGGTGGTGTCCAGATGTCCGCTCGTCGTCAAGATTGAATCAAGTTGTTGTTGTTATATATTCAGCTTCTGGGAACAAAAAGTTCCAAGTAGCACGGGCTATGGTGAGCCCGTAGAGGACTTACCTAGCACATGAGCGGGGCGGTGTTGAACCAGGAGCCTACTGGGCTCTATCATATCTACATTTGAAACTGTGTATGGAATCAGCCTCCACCACATCACTGCCTAATGCATTCCATCTCTTAACTACTCTGACACTGAAAAAGTTCTTTCTAGCGTCCCTGTGGCTCATGTGGGTACTCAGTTTCCACCTGTGTCTCCTTGTTCGCATACCACCAATGTTGAATAGTTTATCCTTGTCTCCCCGGTCGATTCCCCTGAGTATTTTGTAGGTAGTGATCATGTCTCCCCTTACTCTTCTGTCTTCCAGACAGAAGACACACTGTCTTCTTCCTGTGTGTGTGTGTGTGTGTGTGTGTACTCACCTAATTGTGCTTGCGGGGGTTGAGCTTTGGCTCTTTGATCCCGCCTCTCAACTGTCAATCAACTGGTGTACAGATTCCTGAGCCTACTGGGCTCTATCATATCTACATTTGAAACTGTGTATGGAGTCAGCCTCCACCACATCACTTCCTAGTGCATTCCATTTATTAACTACTCTGACACTGAAAAAATTCTTTCTAACGTCTCTGTGGCTCATCTGGGTACTAAGTTTCCACCTGTGTCCCCTTGTTCGTGTCCCACCCGTGCTGAAGAGTTTGTCTTTGTCCACCCTGTCAATTCCCCTGAGAATTTTGTAGGTGGTTATCATGTCTCCCCTTACTCTTCTGTTTTCCAGGGATGTGAGGTTCAGCTCCTTTAGCCTTTCCTCGAAGCTCAATCCTCTCAGTTCCGGGACGAGCCTGGTGGCATACCGCTGAATCTTCTCTAACTTTGTCTTGTGTTGAACTAGGTATGGACTCCAGGCTGGAGCTGCATACTCCAGGATTGGTCTTACATAAGTGGTATACAGGGTTCTGAAAGATTCCTTACACAAATTTCTGAAGGCAGTTCTTATGTTGGCCAGTCTAGCATATGCCGCTGATGATATTCTTTTGATGTGGGCCTCTGGGGACAGGTTCGGTGTGATATCAACCCCCAGATCCTTCTCTCTGTTTGATTCTTGCAGGATTTCCCCTCCCAGATGATACCTTGTGTTCAGCCTCCTGCTCCCTTCGCCTAATTTCATCACCTTACACTTTCCAGAGTTGAACTTCAGCAGCCATTTTCTAGACCATTCCTCCAGTTTATCCAGGTCATCCTGTAGTCTCTGTCTCTGTCTCCATCCTGTGTGTGTGTGTGTGTGTGTGTGTGTACTCACCTAATTCACCTAATTGTGCTTGCGGGGGTTGAGCTCTGGCTCTTTGGTCCCGAGAACCAGCCATGTGTGTGTGTGTGTGTGTGTGTGTGTGTGTGTGTGTGTGTGTGTGTGTGTGTGTGTGTGTGTGTGTGTGTGTGTGTGTGTGTGTGTGTGTGTGTGTACACCCATTATTTTGACACCTAATTTAAGAAGCCAGACGTATCATTCTTAAATATTATTATCTCTCCCCCGTGGCCATCAGGAGGGCCGTCACCTGACCCTGGTGGCCCTCGGGGACACGTGACGGCGGAGGACCTGGCCAAGCTCCCGGCCTACCTGAGGGAGGCCCCAACCTGCGCCACCAACCGCTCCTTCTGTCTCATGCCGCTGGGGTACCCGAGGTGGGTGCTTCTTGTTGTGCTCCTCCCCACGCTACTATGGCTAATATCTCACTATCACCTCACCATCACTCTCTCTAGCTCCTCACCATCACTGCCACTAGCTCGTCACCATCACTGCCACCAGCTCGTCACCATCACTGCCTCTAGCTCGTCATTGTTAATCACTACAGTCAACTTGTAACATGACCACCGTCCCTACAGTCAAGATCTCACCATCACCACCATCATGGCGCTGTCACCACAGAAATATAATCACTGCCATCACCACAACCACAATAGCTATAGGTATATATATATTGCTAGTATAAATTGATCCCAGTTCGTTCCTAATGAACTGGGCTCGAACGCCGACCAGCACTTCAGAAGCGAGGCCGTCGTTGCACCAACAGTCTAAGTGGCAGGGCAGGGAAGGTGTAACGTCTCAGGTAATGTCTAAGACATTATTCTCCCCCTATATCAATCAGCGGATGTCGTCTCAATGATGCAGCTGGGGTCACGTGACCCCCCCCCCCAGCTCCAGCGAAAGGCTAATGTTCTTATATATGCAGTCATATTAAAAAATAATAATTAAAATTATTAATACTAATATTATTATAATTATTATTATAATAATTATAATTATAATTATCCTTTTCAGGGAAAGTAGAAAGTCTTAGTTAAGTATCATTAACGTACTTCTAATCTCCTTCCCAAGTTTGTCAGCATCTTGGTTTGGTTGCTAAAGGAACGGATTTCTATTGTTCGAGCCTAAGTTCGAAGCTCTGATGATCCAAACGAGTGAAGCGTATAATCGCTTTTCTGTAATAAACATATTTATGTCTGCATTTTTTAATTGATATTTTTGCATGTGTGTGTGACAGGGAGGTGGCGGCGTCCTTGGTGAGCACACACCGGGAGGAGATGTCAGAGATCACCAGGGTGCTGGCCAACCTTCCCCGCCATGAGCTTGACCTCTCGTCTGCACTACAGCAGTTCCCTTACATCGACACCAGGTAGCGGGGTCTGTCTGTCTGTCTGTCTGTCTGTCTGTCTGTCTGTCTGTCTGTCTGTCTGTCTGTCTGTCTGTCTGTCTGTCTGTCTGTCTGTCTGTCTGTCTGTCTGTCTGTCTGTCTGTCTGTCTCTCTCTCTCTCTCTCTCTCTCTCTCTCTCTCTCTCTCTCTCTCTCTCTCTCTCTCTCTCTCTCTCTCTCTCTCTCTCTCTCTCTCTCTCTCTCTCTCTCTCTCTCTCTCTCTCTCTCTCTCTCTCTCTCTCTCTCTCTCTCTCTCTCTCTCTCTCTCTCTCTCTCTCTCTCTCTCTCTCTCTCTCTCTCTCTCTCTCTCTCTCTCTCTCTCTCTCTCTCTCTCTCTCTCTCTCTCTCTCTCTCTCTCTCTCTCTCTCTCTCTCTCTCTCCTACTATTATGTATTGCAATACAGAGTGCAAGGATTTATCGACTCAGATACATATATGCTACAACATGTGGGATAAAGATACTCTTTCCATCACCGGACGTTGCAGCGTGGAGTGTGAGAGCGAGGAGAGAACTGTTTACCTCAGCTGGTCCCGAGATCTGCTGGGCAGCTGGTTCGTCATCATGCAGACACCACCTTTCACGCAGCCCGTCAACGTTACCACCTGCAGGTGGGTACAGAGGTGACCCAGCACATGTGTGTGTGTCTTACCTACCAGTACTTGTCATGTAGAGGTTCCAGGACCAAGCTTCGGCTCATGTCTCGTGCACCGACTCGCGTCCCCTTTGCTTAGTATTCAAAGTCATATCGATTGGATGTACCTTAAACTACTTCATCTTCTAGTTCGTTCCAGCAGCTTAATGCTCTTACATTGAAGAAATGTTCCCTAACTGTCCTGAGGCTCATCTACCTTCCATGCACGCCGTCTTGTTACGCTAATGCTCAACCTAAATATTCTGTCTCTATCTATTTCATATTTTCATTTGAGTATGTTATATGTCTGGATCTTGCCCGCTCAATGTATCTAATATATCCTTGTGCAGGAAACCTCTTTTACTTTCTCAATCTTTCCTCTGAGCATTTTGATGTGGGGGCTTCCCATTTATGCTGTATACTCGAGGCCTGGTCTGACATGTACTGTATGACATATTTTGAACGTAACCATGATTAGGGTTCTGAAGACTGTCCTGATGCTCTGATGTGATCACACTGTGGTTCCAGAGATAGATTAGGAATTACGTCTACTCTAATATTTTTTTCTCTCAGAGGTCCTGGGAGATTCCTTCTTTTTATTAGTACGTATTGTTCCTTTGACCTCCCTTTTCCTGTCTCCATCCTCATTACTTTGCACTTATCTGGATAGAAGTCTAATAACCATTTGTCCGACTTAGATCCGGCCTGAAAGTTATCTAAGTCATTCTGGATCTCGATAATGTCTTCGCTTCTACTGATTTTCCTCATCAACATTGCATCTTCATCAAACAATGGCACAAAAGATTCTGTCTCGTCACCAGCATGGGTCTCGACACCAACCCCCTTGGGGCTCCAGCTATGAAGTGCCCCCATTACGATATTACCCCTTTACTCTGTCTCTTATTCGTTCGACAGCTCTTCATGCAGTTAACTATTGAGTTATGCCGGTCTGGTTCTCTAGACTGATTTATTCCACCCGGACAATGTTCTGGTATTGTATCACATGGTCTCTTAATTCTGGTAATGGCTGCCATCATCTCTACCAGTTCGTTCCTCACGCTTACCACCCGTACCATATAGTGCTCTTAACGTAGAGTGATTGATGAGTGAGTCAGCTGCGAGAGTATTCTTGGGTAATGTCGAAGGTTCCAGAGATTTAACGATGACGTCATGACCCAGCTAGTTTATACGCTAAATGCCATGTGTTGAATTTTATTTCGCTTTTTATTAGCAACAGTAAATCATATTATTGCCAGTATTGGAACTAAGAATGTGGATAGGACATCATATTGTAATATATAAATATATATATATATATATATATATATATATATATATATATATATATATATATATATATATGTGTGTGTGTGTGTGTGTGTGTGTGTGTGTGTGTGTGTGTGTGTGTGTGTGTGTGTGTGTGTGTGTGTGTGTGTGTGTGTGTGTGTGTGTGTATCTGTGTGTGTGTGGTGTGTAGATATATATGGGATATGGGTCAGGCACCAGTTGCAAGTAAGCAGAGTTCAAAGAGCCAGATCTCCCTCCCCTTGGATAGTGAGAGGGTAAATACCAACCAGCTGGCCAGTACTTGCTCTCCTGATTATGAAACACAGTGTTCGGCGCTCAGAGTTGTAAATATGTGTTACCCAGACACGTGCTTGTGTTGCGTAATGTGTAGGTGTACACATCAGACCAGGCACGTTCCGGTGTACGTGGTGATCATTGTCTACTACTAGCATTGTTTACTACTTGTAGGTACTAGTCTACTACTTGAGCTACTTGTACTACTAGTACAACTCTTCTAACCACGAACCAGTACGCTATTCAGGGTTATGTCCCCTCAAAATACCGCTATATTTCCTCCTCTGTTGTATCTACTGTATATGTTATATGCCAGACTCATCACTCTGTGATGAAGTCATATGTTTTGTTCCTCTCTGGTGTTTGTTTATGGTGTATATATACTATATGTATAGTATAGCAGTTATGGTGTATATATACTATATGTATGTATAGCAGTCTCCGTGGTGTAGTGGTAAGACACTCGCCTGGCGTTCCGCGAGCGCTATGTCATGGGTTCGTATCCTGGCCGGGGAGGATTTACTGGGCGCAATTCCTTAACTGTAGCCTCTGTTTAACGCAACAGTAAAATGTGTACTTGGATGAAAAAACGATTCTTCGCGGCAGGGGATCGTATTCCAGGGACCATAGGATTAAGGACTTGCCCGAAACGCTACGCGTACTAGTGACTGTACAAGAATGTAACAACTCTTGTATATATCTCAAAAAAAAAAAAAAAAAAAAAAAAAAAAATATGTCGTATATATACATTCAGATGTATGTCTCACTAATGTAAATATACAACTGTGTATTGACCCAGCTCACCTACTTGACTCTGCTGTAGTATTTTTAAAACCTTAAAACACTAGTGAATAAATGATATTAACGTGAGTGGTCTGCCCTACAGCTCTGAAGCGCGTAAGAAGGGATGCCGCCCCCTCCTGCAGGCTCAGCCGCTCCTCGCCCTTCATCCTAGAGACCCTCAACCTCGCCCCTTCCTCTTCGACTTCCCCCTCCCGGTGGCCTGCGTCTTTGTCGGCCCCCTGCAGAGCGTAAGCCTCCTTCAGTAGGCTCTCAGGCTGAGCTTACTGCCTCATCTCCACCCTCCACTATAGTTCCATTGTGAAATATATTATTTTAGAAGAAAAAAAAACAAGTTATTTATTGTGATTATATTTGAGGGGTACAGGTGATCTGATGTATGTAATGTATGGTGATAATGTAGGTGTAGATTTGTTCATTAGATGTAGGTGTATACACCAGGGGTGCGGGAATGACAAGTGGTGCCGTTCCACCCCAGGCCTCCAGCTCCCCCGTGACAGTTGTTAACACCCCAGCTGACCAGCAGCTATTGACGTCGCCGCTCCCTGACCAGTCAGTGACGTCGCCGTCCGCTGACTCTGACCAGGACAGCTTCCTTCTTTCCGGCATGCCTCATACGGCCTCCCGCCAGACTGTTGACTCCCTGACGTCACCAACGAGTGAGTTACCGCTATCATTATCCGTGACATCATCGTTCTATCATTCAGTCCCATTCTTACCTATGACGTCACCGTCAAGTCAACAAGTCCCGCCTTTTGCCATGACGTCACCGTCGAGTCAACCAATCCCCAGTGCATTTGGGACGTCACAGGCTTTCCCGCGAGCCCTGCTGCCACTGCGTCCGGCTATGTTGCTACATGACGTCAGTGTTGAAATGGACATATTGAATGATGAAGTGGAAGCCAAGGTCACGCGAAACGCTGGATGCACTGACCTCTGCCAGACTCAATTCCTTATGCTCTCACTTTCATTTATTTTACTTGTCCAAAGATAATTGTTTTATCTTCAACACACAATTACATACGGACGCACCTATATTAAATGTGCCTTGTTCATCCCTTTATATAAATATTCTTAATGTGTAAGACTGAAATACCAACATTAACTCTTTCAAATCTACACTTAACATCGATGTAAAAAAAAATATATTATCTATAATTACAAGGCTTCAAAGATCTTCCGCGAAGCCTAAGATTGACTTAGCCTCTGGTCAAATGAAGTCTGTGTTATGACACTTGTTTTCCTTGTTAATGTAAGTCGTACATAATTAAATAATATATATATATATATATATTATATATATATATATATATATATATATATATATATATATATATATATATATATATATATATATATATATATATATATATATATTAAACGTAAACTTTATAATGGCTTTCTTATTTATCCTGAAATAATACCACAAGGTATTAAACCAAATGCTCCCACCTGTGATCGTTAGGGGAAAATAAGACGTTGCAGTAATGACATCTTGTAATTTGAGAAACTTCATTGTACTTAGCCTCTTAACTACACAAAATTTGTCAGTTTTTTCTTAATTTTTTATTTTATGATATGCATTATCACTGTATTCCTGTTCACTGTAGCTAAATGGAAGTTTTAGTTTAGTTTAAGATATTTAACACATTTTCTCACGTACGTAAAAATTTGCGAATCGTTGAGAAATCAACTCGTTAGTAACGATGAAGTTTGATCTGTAATTTGAGCACTATTGTATCTATCCTAATGAAATAAACAGTTGAAGACCATTGCACGTGTGTGTGTATTGTATACATTGTATGGTGTACGTATAATGTATTTGAATGCTTGTATTAATGTTATATCGCAATGGTGATTGATCTGTCACAGCTTGTGAAAAGTTGAAGAAAATTACCGGAGGTGTGTTTTACGGATTAACTGATTGATATTTAAATATACTTGACAAGTTGTTTATGAAACAATTTATTGCTGATTCCCTGATGTGGGTAGTTTAGTAGTGTCGTGGTGCAGAATGAGGAAGGCATTACGAAGGTAAGCCATCATACGAATATCATTTATAATTTCAAATTATAGATTCTTTTCCAATCTTCCCGGCTGATTACTCTCTCGACCCCACTCTATGAAATTGGGAGCTTTTTTTTAAGCACCACTGTCTATAGCTGACTGTCTCACCGGCTGGCAGATTTGCTGGATGGCTGATTAGTTTATTAGTTGGCTGGATGAATGACTAACTGGCTGACTGTCTGACAGGCTGGCCGGTGGGTAGGTCAGCGAAGGTAGGAGAGGCAGTGGAAGCGACCTAGCATACCAACACTATACTTTCTCCTGTGTCTGCACCAATCATTCGCCGCTCCTCCGTCTCTGCTAGGCTCATGCTGAAATTACAATAATATAATTTATACTGTACGGGCCCTAGACCTCTGGCGGTCCCCCCCACGCTCGACCGTCCCCAAAATAGCACCACATTGTAGTGATGCGAAAATACAGCGATGTTATGCTGCTGAAATATAGCGATGCTGTGATGCGTTAATACAATGATGTAGTGCTGTGGAAATACAGCAATGATGCGCAGCTAAAATTTAGCGATGTTGAGGTAGGGAAGGGAAAGGAACTATCGGGGGGTGGGGGGGGGGGGGGGAAGCGCCAAGCCACTATGACTATATTGCTCTTGGAAGGGTTCAGGATAAGGATTTGGGATTGGACAGGGGAAGGAACGGTGCTCAATCACTTGGATGGTCGGCATGAAGCGAGACCGTCGCTCTTCCGTCCAGCCCAAGTGGTTAGACAAAGTAATACAGTGATATAATGATGCTGATATACGTCAGTGATGTAATAATGCAGAAATACTTTAATGCCATGCTGCAGAAACACAGTGATGGCATATTGATGAAATACTATACATGTCTAATAATACAGTAGATGCCTGCAGACGATGAGTCACAATAAATTGTCACATAGGAAGTTAGGAAGAAAGATTATGTGAATTAAACTTCTCGTCGGTGAAAAGCAGAAGAGTTAGGGAGACATAAGTACCACACAAAAATCTGAGAATTGATAGGGACACATGTGGAAACTGAATACCCAAATGAACCACAGAGACATTAGAAATAATTTTTTGGTGCCAGAGTAGTTAATAAATGGAATTTACCTGAGGGGTCACTGACATTAATGGCCTCGACGAGGACAGGAAGCCGGCGGCTTGTCAAAGGCCCCCCCCCCATTTTCCTTTATCTAAACCTAACCTAAACAAACACAATTACGTCAGTAATTTATGTTCTTAATATAATATAATAATATTAATTCAAATAAACTAATTGGAAACAATTTATTGAAAATAAAGAAAATCACTCGGCCTATTAGGCAAATCGGGCCTTGCATAGTAGGCCGAGAAGTGCATTCTGGCTACTAGGTACGACATATATATATGCTCACGATGCTTTGTACATTCTCACAAGGTGCCTGGCTTTGCCCAGACTTACCTATTTCCTCAAGTGTGCTCCCTCTTTTGACAGCCCAAAATTAACGGAATATGACTCACTCCTAAAGTCAATAACTATGGAAAGGTTAAACCTCTCCCTGCAAGATGACCAATGGGACCAAGCAACACTCCCAGTTAGACTCGGGGGTATAGGTATCGGCAAGGCGACACAGTTAGCATTGCTGGCATTCTTATCCTCGACCAGTGCTACAGGTGAATTAGTGAATGAAATACTACCAGAATACCTAAGGAACTCCACTTGGATTCATGATCCCAAATTTGTGGAAGGAGCTGGTCAGTGGGACACTCTTGCCAACTCACATCCTGGACCAGCTTTTCCAAACGACGGCAAACAAGCCAAATGGGATAACCCCATAGTGGAGAACATCGCCACAGCATTGCTGGAGGCAGCTTTTGAAAAGGATAGAGTGCGTCTTCTAGCTGCGCAAGCCCCCCATGCCGGTGACTTCCTGTTGGCAGTCCTTAATTCTGCCATGGGCACCCGCCTGGACCATCGGGCCCTAAGTATTGGTGTTGCCCTGCGCCTTGCCGCCCCTATCTCCACCGAACACTAGTGTATTTGCGGCTATGCACGAGCGGACCAATACAGCAGCTATGGTCTCATCTGTCATAAGTCACAGGGAAAGATTGCCAGAGATGAAGCAGTCAATGGCATCAACAAGAGAAGTTTGGCTACAGCTGGGTGTCCAGCACAAAGGTAACCTCAGTTGTGCAGACCTGACAACAGCCAAAAACGCCCAGATGGAATCACCCTGCAGCCATAGAGAGACGGTAAACAGGTCGTATGGGTCGTATGGTCGTATTACACGTGTGCATCTATATTGGCTGATACCTATCTACCTTACAGCACAGTTGAGGGAAGTGGGGCAGCCACCTTCATAAAGGGAGACCCAGAAAACCAACAAGTACAGAGACCTAGAATGTTGTTACAGGTTCGTGCCGATAGGTTCTGAGACTCTAGGCGCCTGGGGTAAATGTGCACTTAAGTTCTTAAAGGAGGTGGGTGAGGAACTCACTGGGAAAACTAAAGACCTACGAGTGGCCAGTTTTCTGTTCCAGCGCCTCAGTGTCGCAGCTTAGCGAAGTATCCAAAATTTGCTTACTGTAGGTAATGCATGCACATGACTGTAAAGCTGCCGCCCAGTTGGGTGGGTGTGCAGCAAGACTAGTAACTGTGTGACTCACCATAGATGTAAAGTGCCTTGTACAGTGACTGTTGTGAGCCTCTTGCTGAATCACTTGTGACACAAAAGATTATTGATGTGTGTATTTGTGTGGGTGATTAAATATGTATGTATATATGCATACGTATGTATATGTACATGTATGCATGAGTATGTGTACATGTATATATAACATTAATAATTTTGTAACTAGCGTCAAAAATTTTTATTCGCTTAGCTAAACGAACTAGAGGGTTCACTTCCTGAACCGATTATGTGCCTCTGTAATCCTTTACACCACCGCCCACGGGATGGGTATGGGGTGCATAATAAAGAAAGAAATTGAATTGCTATGGGTCCCCTTTCTTCCAGTCAGAGGTGGTACTCCCTTTTATATATATATATATATATATATATATATATATATATATATATAATTATAAAACATCACTGGATATACATTGTGGTATTTTGTGTTGGGGGGGGGGAAGGGGGAGCTAGCTGAATCATACCACTAAATCTATAAAATTATAAAATGACTCATCTAAGACAAAGTACGGGAAACTTAAATAATTACCCAATCTGCTTGTTATTTTCTCATAATAGAGTAGCGGTTGATATAAAACAGTTTGGACACAAGATCGTATATGCGATTATGAGTTTAGCTTCGGAGATATATTAGTGAATCAGCTGGCCACTCCAAACACTGGCCTGGTTGAATCACATTCATGCTCTAGTCATGACTGCTCCACGCTTACTCAACCAAAGCTTGTATCGTGTAATTTGATCTATCAGGTGAATCGTGAAAAGTTAAACCTATTAAGCAGCAACTATAACAATAAATTTCTGGCAAAATAGGAATAAATATAAAATCTAACATTTTTGTGTTTCCTAACTGTTAGAAAACGGGCGCCAACGTGGGAGACTCATTTCAGCTTGTGTGGGAACCTGCGAGCGGCTAGCGTGCGAGCCCAGTTGAGGTGTGGTGGTACACAATATGGCGTGGGGAGTTGATAAGCTATGAGGGATTTCTTGACGTTTGCGGTGTGAGTGCTGGAGGCTGGTTATGCTATACAATATTTTTGGCGTCGTGAAGGATTATGGTCTGTTGTTTTGCAGGTAAGAGCGACCTGAGGGTCGGGAGTGAGGCAAACACGGTGTTGTTTACAGTCCTGTTTAATTTCCAGAGAAATGTTTTAATGAGGAAGTAAACTGAGCGTAGCGTCTTGCTATCTCCTTCCACCTCGAGTACGTCGACGGGTTAAGAGAATAAAGAATGTTTTAGATATTAAAGGCCATAAAGGCAGTAATCAGAGAGGGTAGATAAGGAATGAAACAGGAAGGAGAGTGACTGGTGAGTGTCCTGACGTGACACTTGGCCCGCTGACACCTCCAGCGTCCGGCTTGGCTCCCCTCAACTTACCATTACAAGTGAATATGAAATAATTTGGTGAGTAAGATTAGATTTCTGGACATAGTTTTATGCATTGTTTTCAATACAACAACAAAAAAAAACTATTTAGCATTAAAGGTCAGAACGTGACCTGTGACACAGGTCATCAGTGAAGTCAAGGTTTTTGGAGACGCCCTTGTAGTTTTGTAGTTTGCACACACATGTAAGAAGTCCAGTTTTTAATCATGATTGGTAAAGTCGGATGATTGGAAATCATTCATTCTTTCAATTTGCCATTGTGCATCAAACAGTAGTTGGAGTCATGGATAAAAAGATGATTGGCGAGTCGTGTTCTGTGGAAAACATGGCACTAAACAACTCAAAATAATTTTAGAACCTGGCCAGAGGTCTAAATTTAAATAGAAACATGAAACTGCTTTAGTGATGTTTTCAGACTGACATGTAGTAGTGCAGTGATCAATAGTGTTGGCTCACAACCAAACATTACTGGGTTATATTCCCAGGCAGGACATGATGTTTAGCTAAGTTTCTTTACACCCAATGCTGGTGTTTTTCTGGTGTATGGTCAAATTGTACATGAGCCTTGCAGCCAAGCTCATTTTCTAATCATCTGCTTAGGCAGTGTTTGCTCTAGTTGGGGTGGATTGGCATAGATTGGGTAACGGTAGGTAGGTGTTAAAATCCATTGGCAAACAGTCTTATGCACAGTTACTTTTCATTGCTTACCTAGCAGTAAGTAGGTATCTTGGAGTTAGGCAACTGTTGTGTATTAAGGTCAGGGTCAGTTATTGGCCTAGGGGAACCTCAGTAAGCTTCATAGACTTTAGTCCCTAACAGTGGAAAGTCACTGTGATCTTACTTTATCTTGTACTGAATATTAATAGTCCAGTGCTCCATCAGCTTTAACTACAGTATATAGCTCAGTTCCCAGTGTATATACAATCCATTAGCCTAAATAGGTATTGTATACAAAAGTACATGCTAGAAAATATGTACCCGTTACTCAGTAGTGCAAATATGAAGCATCAGTGTCCGAGTTACTTGATGGTTTATTTATTGTTTCAAGATAAGGTTTATTGATGAGCATCAAACTTTTCTAGGTAAAAAATAGTCTGATAGATAATCTTATCAGCAGTTAAATGTTATCTGAAGTGTTTTTGTTATGGTCTTCTAACTGGGATAAATACTGTACTGTAATCCTATAGTTTAATATAGCTTTGTGATGGATTATATGATTTTGAATGTAAGTTTTAGGATAAATAATAAGTGCTTAATGGCAAGAATGAAATTAGGTTTTTAAATATATTAAATATATTTCAAGCACTTAAAACACCTTATTGAGTGTAAAAAGCACGATAAATACACAGCAGGTTTACTGTGTTGAATCAAAATTCAAGCACTGTTATCAATATTGAACTTGTGTTAGGTCAGTGACTGATGTTAATTCATTATGCTTGTGGTTATGCAACATGATAAAATATCTGTACTGTACTTTATTTAGGGTAAATACTGTCTTATTGAATTGTTAAAAGGGAAGGGAACCATCAGAAGTGTGTCAAGCCATTACAACTATTTAGCAGTTGAAAGGGATCAGGATAAGGATTAGGGTTGGGACGGGAGAAAGGAATGGTGCCTAACCATTTGAACGGTCAGTGATTGAAAGCCGACCTGCATGAAGCGAGACCATCGTTCTACCGTCCAACCCAAGTATTTGGTTAATTTGTTTAAAATTATTCTGATTTACATCTACTGTATTCAAAATTGTTTTGCTATCATTTACCTAGCAGAAGCTATAAAAACTTGTGTTGCTATATTTAGGGAAAACAAAGGCTTTGACATACAGTGCAGTAGCCTAATTCCTTCTACAGTACTGTGTTGAAAAAACTATTTTACATAATACAGGGGTTTAAGAGTTTAATCTGTTCCTGGAGACAGCTCGTAAACCGAAGCTAATTTTCCCATAAGAAATAATGGGAAATGAATTACTGTAATCCGTTCCTGACTACCCAAAACCTCACTTCAAACTCAATTTTATACCTAACTCATCTAAATCTACACTACAAAAGTATGTTCAAGTTATTACTTACCCCTTGCTGATGACTGCTGTTGGCGTATGGAAGATGGTGAGGAGGAGGAGAGGTGTTACTGTTTGGAAGGGGAGTCCCCTTCCATTATAACATCAGACAGTGAGGACTTAACTGGTGTGCACTCTGGCACATTTTGCCTGCATACCACTAGGACCTGCTTGTGGCTCGCTGCTTGCTTGTCTTACTAGGAATCTGTCTAAAGACACTTGTTTTTCCCTACATTTTAACACTTGTCTGTAGTAAGACATCACATTGTCATTTAAAAGGTCAATGCAGTGGCCTGCTACAGCTTTATCTGGGTGAGTTTTTTCAACAAAACTTTGCAGTTCTTCCCATACTTCACACATTTTCTTAATGAAGAAGGGACATCCTCTACTGCCTCTACTTATAACTATTTTCTTAGGTCAAACCTTACCACTGGCTTTCTTGGGACCCATGGTGAGATGTATAAAAACAACTTTTATGCTCAAATGGCCAAAAATCTGACAAATAACTGTAAATCCTTGTGAAGAATTCAGGCGGGATAGTCACTGGGTGCGAGGCACTGGTAAACTGAGGTGCGATCGCCGTGCCACCATGTGCTAGTCGGCCTGTATGCGTATCGACACCCTCGTATTCTGAGGCAACACTCGTATTCTGATGTAAATTTTTCAAGCAAATCCTGCTCGTAATCTGAAAAACGTGTAAACAGTGACGCTTGTGTTCCAAGGTACCGCTGTACAGTGTCGTACTGCTATACAGTATATGCAATATATGGTCATATTTGCACTGATGGGTTGTATTGCAGCTATACTGAACCAAGGTGGTATGGCTCTGTCACACAAATACAAACAAAAAACGCTGCTTGGCCCTTGCAGTGTTTAAGTCGCAGGTGGAAACAAATGAAAATCATCAAATAAATAATTAAAACAATTTACTGTAATATTAATGAGCGAAAATGGCACCTGAGAACACTTGGCTGTTAATATAGAAAAATAAAATAAGTAAATAAAAGTTTGAATCTAATACAAGAGTATACTGGTGTGCTGAAGACAACTACCATACCACCACAGCATCAAGCACACGACGTAGGCTGAGGGCAGACGGCGTTGCTGGGGGCTAAGGTGATCCAAGAACACTAAGAGAGAGACTGGCTTTGTAGGGAGGCAGTGCCCTTTATATAGTCCAGCAGTGATGACATCCGGTGTCAATGGAAGGTGGTAACAAGTGCTACTAGCAAACTGCTAGTTTGTGGCTGGTGGCACCTTTGTGCTGAGGCTGCACCATTGCTAGTTGAAGGTAGCTACCTACTTGTTTATAAAGGCAAACTACCGGTTAGCTGAGGCGCTCGGCTTTCGGCCAGGTCGTACCAGGCCGTGCCAGACCCTGAGGGGTACGGAGAGATGGCAGGACTGATGACTCGTCTTGAGTGGTGTAGAGGTGGACTTCCAGTGCAGAAGCATTGAGTGGAAAAGGCAGTTCCACTGCAATGCAGTGATTCAAGTGACAGCACATAATTATATGAGAAGCTGGCAGCTAATAATTTATTAATATACAGCATATAGTATTTAGTTTCTTAGCCACTCTAAACTAACAGAAGAAACATACTTTCTCTGTAGTCTAGTTTTTAATATTAGCACAATATTTTTAGTGACTGATTTGTGTGATGGATGAGATTATCCCTTGGAAAAGTCCTAAAAAAACAAAACAAAGGTGGTTCTCTAAAAACCAGTATTGCATAATGTATGTCATTATACAGCAATGTCATTACATTGCTGTGAATTGCTACTCTGTTGACCATAGCCATTGCCACCACCATGGCACTGTTGAGCTTGTGGGTGTGAAATTTGCTGCATTCCAGGCATCCACTTGGACAATTGTTCTGGTGTCCAAACCATTCTCGGTCACTGTTACGGCCTGCTTGAGCCAGTAACAGGATTCTTTCTGTTTAATGTGCCTTATAGCCTCCTCTTCTATGATCCCACCCCAAGTCAATAGTAAGTTCTCAAGAATTGGCAGTAGTAAGTAATAGTGCAAGGAATAAAGGGGTAAACAAGATGCAATTACAACTTCACCAATATATTATCTATAGAAGTACTGTATAACTACACTTATATACAGTGTTGCTTTCAACCAAGAAACTCAATATATCTGCAGTGTTCTTCAAAACCCGGTGAGTCTGCTATCTTCAAGTGTACATCGTCCACGTTCAGTGGTAACCACTGGTGAGTTTCCACATTCAATAGTAACCACCGGCCACCACCTTCCTCAACATGGGCCAGTCCACACACTGTATCGTCGCGATGTCCCAATACCTCGCATCTGCTCTCCAGAAGCACGCTGGCAGAGGGCTTCAGTAACATGCTGACAGGGGTCACAAATAATCACTTCCGGGGGGTCTCTTAACACCTTGGCAGAAATCTCTAGCAACACTTCTCAGCAGATGACCACTACTGCCGTCTTGTAACTCCTCTTGGCCAAATCCTGGGTAAATTGTTCCACACAACACTGCATAAGTACAACAGCTTACACATTGCTTACTGCCGATGGTGGTCACTTGTCCTCCACACTTCGGCAGTGCAATAGACTCTTCTCGCCTGTGAAGATAAGTCATTAGCCAGACAGAAAGTATTCAAAAACATAGGATGCCAACCTTTCACCAGGGAACGGAAATTGTAATCTAATGCACAATCTAGATTGCGTTGATATAGTTACGTCACTCACCAGAGGTTGTCGTCATCATCAACTTCACCTCTTAACTGAGGTATGAAACAGGAGCCTTTCACAGACGCAACACCACCATCAACAATGGCGTTGTCTGTGTCTCATTTAATGCCTTGGAGTTGAAATGCAGGTCCATAGAAGACGCCAAAATCGCCGCCACTCACTCCAGTAATGATGTTGATACCGTAACAGTCACTTTTTCCCTAGTGGGCTGTGTTGAGTTCTGAGCTCTCTAGATGCTCACCTACCTAACCTTGAGGTTATCTTGAGATGATTTCGGGGCTTAGCGTTCCTGTGGCCCGGTCCTCGATCAGGGCTCCTTTTTGTTACACACCCCCAGGAAGCAGCCTGTAACAGCTGCCCAACTCCCAGGTACCTATTTACTGTTAGGTAACAGGGGCATCAGGGTGAAATTAATTGCCCATTTGTTTCCACCTCCACCGGTATTGAACCCGGAACCTCAGGACTACGAATCCTAAGCGCTGTTCGCTCAGCTCTCAGGCCCCAAGGTTGTTAGTCTGTCAGGTTTAGTTGTTCACAGGATCACAGCTTGTTCATGGCCTGGTCTCTGACCAATCAGGCTGTTAAACACTGCTGCTCACAAACTGACATATGAATTAACCCCCTGGCTATTCATGTATTCGTTGGAGGTAGACACGCGCACATAACCATTAAGTATAGTACTGTACTCGGAAAAAAAATGGTGCTTATCCACTCAAAGTTAATTGTAGGCTGTGTTGAGAAGATTGGATTTGATACTTAGTAATGGAACTCTTTGAGTGGCTGAGGATGATACAACAGAGATGAAGTGCTAGGCTTCCTGAGCTTGGGAGGCTTGGCAGGCTCTGGGCTCGGTAGGTGGTACATGTATACCTGGAGTACGCCTGGATGAGTTCTGGGAGTTCTTCTATTTCTCAAGTCCTGGCCTGGGGTCCTAGATTGTATCTGATCTGGCTTGACTTGTGATAAATTGGTCCAACAGGCTGTTGCCTTGGAGTGGCCTGCAGGCTCATATCAATTACAACTGGTTGGTTTGGCATTTCTTGCATGAATGTGTGTAATTTTCTCTTGAACACATCCACTACTGTACTGGCAATATTTCTTATGATTGCTGGAAAGATACTGAATAGCCAAGGACCTCTGATATTCATACAGTGTTTTCTGATTATCTATGACACTATTACTTTTCACCACATCTATTCTGCATTTCCTACCATATCTTCATATCTTTTCCTAAAGTGTGTTATTTTACAATGTGAATTTGGGACCTGGCATTCCAGTATATTTGTTTGTGTTATGTGATACCTCTTTTGTCTCCTTTTAAGAGTACATTCTGAGAGCTTTAAGATGGTCCTGTTTAGATGCTTTGTGTATATATGTGTGCTGTATGTGTTTTCTGCAATTCTTTGGTTTAAAAAAATCTCTCCTGCTTTGAAAGAAGTTGAGTACCGAGCAGTACTCAAGGCGGAAAAGCAGAAATGATTTGAATAGTAGGAGCATTGTGATTGGAATCCCTGGATTTGAATGTTCTCATAATCACTTTCCTATCCTTGCGACCCTCCCTTCCCTGTTCACTTTCCCATCATCCTGGCTAAATGACCGAGGTTTAAGGCTAGCAGGATTAATTGAGGAGGAATGTGCTGACTCATTAAACTAGGTGTCTCAGTATCGGAGAGAACCACTGCTATGGTACAGTATATGTATCTACAAATAAAATAAATGAATGTGTTGGCATTCCACCATGTTCATATGGTTTTGCAAACATCATATTGGGGTTTTCACTCACTGAAAAACTTGGCAAAACGTACAAACTTAGGCAATGGGCAAATACATTGTTGGGTATCGTACATAACTGGGATCCATTCCACCCAGTCAAGCCCTTTCAACACATTATCTTATTGGGCTACCAACCCCTCCCAACTACCAGCTCCACCCACTACTACCACCATCACCAACCATTACTGTTTTAGTACTCAGTAATCATTGAACCACCTCTATACTTTGCAACACATTTTTGTCATCTGATATATTATGATTATACATTACTGTAGTTAAAATGTCTAGTTTTGTTACCAACTTGTCCAAAATTTATTTACTGTATGTTCTTGCCCAGTTAGAATATTGACTACTGTACTGTACTGTACTGTTATACTGTATATTGGACTATATCTGATTTTAACATTGCACATTTTGTATTTCTTCCAGGCTAGAGTGAATACTATATAATGTGACCACCAGTGTTGCTGAAACAATGCCGCTGATCACCAAATTCAAAGATATATTTAAAGGTGGATCCTCAGCCAAAAAGAAAAAGCATTTTCATAATGTTCGGCTGGATAGTCCAGAAGAATTTTGGGATATTGTTGGAGAACTGGGAGATGGTGCCTATGGCAAGGTTTATAAGGTAGGATATTCAGAGCTATTTTACATTAGATTTATATCCAATAATAACAATATATGGCTGATAACCAAGTCAGACTAAAGATGTGATTGTAAAGCAAATGAGGAGTGATTGTAAAGCAAATGAATAATCAGTACATTCACAATATTATAATAGACTCTGGTCACTCAGAATTTGCCAAAGTCAACATAGATGTGTTTAACATATAACAGGATACCTGTAGTTAAATGTGGCAGTTTGTAAAGATATCAACTCATGCTACTACACCACTGACTGGGAGTAGCCAAAAAAGTTCCACTGGCTCAATCACTTAGAATCACACACACAAGTACATTTGCCTTGACAATCCATATTCACATCAGATAATCACATAATCCATCAGAGCTATTGCTCAACTTAGTACACGTACGTACGGTTCAGTAGAACTTTTGATACACACACATGCATGTGAATAGTATTGACACATGTAATGCCAATGAGGAGATATGGCTGAAGTAAGCTGCATAGGATGCAGTGGAGTTGTGAGGAATTGAAGCAGGTCATTGATTGTAAATTGGAGCAAGTCGGTGGTGGTAAGCTGGGTGTAGGTTGTCGATGATAGATTGGCCAGGACATGCACACTGACAGGGGCATAGTCATACATACTGGCAAAAGCAATGGTAGTAGCTGCTGGGCAATGTCTTTGTCTTGGTGTCTCTCTCGGTGACTCATAGAACTGTCCGGTTCATCAGGCATGTGTTTTTCCCTGTAAAGCCATGCTGTATCTTAGTACAAAGCTAGTCCTTTCCAGATGGTCCTTCTTTTCACCACCATAAATTTATTTACTTAAAAAAAAATCTTGATCATGTTCGAACATTTTAATATCTGTATACTGTAAATTTTAATCATTCTAGTAAAAGAACTGTATCATCTGCATACAGTACAACAAATTTGACACATCTTAATCCAAGCTTACTCCAATTACTCACATTAGGCTTATACACTTGGTTTATACCTTCTCTAATATTCTTACCTGAATGTCCTTTATGATCCTTATATTTAATGAATAACCGGGGTGATATCACAACTGGTATACATCTTCCATAATATCAGATTTATTACACCATTGATTCTTTCCCATGCTCTTTTTCACAACATTTATCAGAACTCTGCCAACTCCATACATACTTGGCACTCAAAATTCCTTCTCTGTTAACTTTGCCATGCTTTCTTAAGTCCATAAAGGTCACATACACCATGCATATGCCTTCTCCACATGCTGTCTCAATATAAATTTCTGATCTACATAACCCTCTTCCTCATAACTTGCCTTGTTCATTACTAATACCTCGGTTATTTCCTGTACTGGCACTCAGAATTATTATACTGCCATACAGTTTGTCATCAATACATAATAAACTGATATCTCGGTAATTCTTACACTTGACTATGTTCTTATTTATATTTGTTGACTGGTGCAATCAGCTCTTTTTTTTTTTTTATCTCTCTCTCGCTCTCTCTCTCTCTCAATCTACTGGTGCATTCCCACTTATCCCTTGCCTTGTGGTAAATTTTCGACACCCACTCTGTTCCTGTTCTCATCGGTGGTACTAATAATAATTTCTACAGGCAACTCAACATGAGTAACTTCTCAACATTGATGTATAGTATAATACTTTGTTTATAAAAAAAATCAGGATCTTCATGCACGGATATTTTGTTTAATTTATTGCTGAAACTCTTGTAATGTACAGTATTTAGATTGGTTTATTGCTGAAACCTTTTACAGCCATTTTTATAGTTGTTACTTGTAACATCCAACCAATATATTTATGTAAAATGTTTCTTATTTTAATTGTTATATATTGTAACTGTTAGTCTTTTTGTCTTCTAGGCTGTACACAAAGAGACAAAGCAACTTGCTGCTCTCAAGCAAGTTGCACTGGAAGAGGAGGAGGATCTTGAAACTTTCATGATAGAGATCGATATTCTTTCAGAATGCAAGCATAAAAACATTGTAGAACTGTTAGAGGCTTACCACTACAATGGAAAACTTTGGGTAAGTTAGTGTTTCTTGTGTCCTATGGTGCTCTGGATAAAAATTTTCTTATGCACTTAGAATTTCCACTTTGGTATATCATCCTTCTACTTTTATGATTTCCTGGAACTGGTTGTTTGTACTACTACCTGATATTCAAATGAGAAGTGTTTTTATAACTTCTAACAATATTTTTTTTTAAATATCAGTATTAGAATAATGGTGTCCTTTCTATAGAATCAAGAGTATTAGTGTAGGCTAGTAATTAGTATTGATATCGGTCTAAAATATGATAAGTTGATTTCTTTAGTAAACAGTGGCTGGCAGGAAGCAAAAATATTTTCCCTTCCCTTGGCACTGCCCTGCATGGTGGCAACAACTTCAGGAACTAACCAGCTTTTGCAGATTTTTTAATATAGTACTAATTTTATATTTTAAATGCTGTGCTTTTGGAACCAAAGCATTCAGATTTTTTACAAGTTTCATATACTGTAGAAGAAAAATTCTCAAGAGCTGCCCTAATACATTTCCATTAAACTCTTTATATTATCTGCAATTATCTCAAGTCCCTCATTATTCAGAGATTAGGAATGAAAATGAAATTTGTTAAAATGTTTTACCCTTAAATAAATTGGTTTGATTGCACAGTAATATATATATATTTTATCTTTTCCATGCTCACCGTCTTCCATTATTGCACGATTGTTGAACCAACTCTTCAGATGTACCTGGAATACTGTGATGGTGGCGCCATGGATTCTATCATGGCAGATCTTTACCGACCTCTTACAGAACCCCAAATTGCCTATGTTTGTAAATACCTTGTTGAAGCACTTGTATATATACATGAACAGAAGGTAGGTACTGTAATATGCAGTAGATGTTGTTTGTTAATGTTTTTGTACCGTGTGTGACAAAACTGCAAGGCATTGCTATGGATGAATGTGTGTGGATGAGTGTGGTTGGGCTTATTTATCAGTGTACTGTATTGTAAGAATGATTTAAAGAATGGATGAGTGATATTTAATTTTTTAATATGTATAACCACCTTCTTCATTATTAACACTGTGATGTCATGATGAAGTTTACTCAGTCATTAAAACAATACACGTAGTTTGGGGCATGATGTTAATGCTGTTAAAAATTTATTTATGCTTATTCTTATTAATAAGTAAGCGAAAGAGTTTAACATTAGGTTGTGCGGTCACGGGACATGCCCGGCCCTCCTTGCGGTGTAACACTTTGCCTGGCCCATCAGGCCAGGCAAAGTGTTAGCTTTTTCTCCTGGGTTATGCTGCTTTACTCCATTAAGTTGATAATGAGGTTATATTATGTATTTGCTTAAGTGTACTTACAGGATGAGAGCTACATTTGTGATGTCCCATCTTCCCAGTACTGTACTCTTTGTCCTATGATGCTTTGAAACTATTTATAGTTTTGGAATCCACAATCCACTTAATTTGTTCCAACAGTCTGCCACTATGTCTGCAAACGAGAATGTTCTAGTATTTTTTGGCATCCTTTATTCCTTAGCTTGAATCTATGACCTCTTGTTCTTAAAGTTGCAGGTTTCAAGAATTACTCTTATCAATTTTGTCAACTTCTGTTACTATAGTGTACTTGACCATATTGCCTCTTTTTCTTCTATCTGCCAGCTTTCGCAAATTTAATACTGCTAGCCTAGCCCTAAAACGAAGTAGGTTTTTTATGCAGGATCTACCTGTTCGCAAGTTATACTATTTGTCATTTCTTTCCAGGTATCGACACATTTCTTTTTAATTATTTTTTTTGGTAGTGTTTTGATTTCCACACTTGTCAATGATCCAGGCCTATAATTGAGAGGGGGTCTTCTTCTGCTACCATTTTTGTAGACTGGAACTATATTTGCCTTTTTCCATATATCTGCCTTTTCCCATATATCTGCTTAGATTTCTGTATATAAAGATGCCTGAAAAATCAGTTGATGTGGAATGCTCAGCCTTAATATGCATTCGCTCAGAACCCACGGTGGGACTCCATCTGGCCCAATTGCCATGTTTATACCTAGCTCTTTGAGCATTTTTTCTACGTTATCTCACCTAATTGTACTCGACTAATTGTGCTTGCAGGGGTTGAGTTTTGGCTCTTTGGTCCTACCTCTTAACTAGTATACAGGTCCCTGAGCTCATTGGGCACTCTTATATCTACATTTGAAAATATATGGAGTCTTCCTCCACCACATCACTTAGTAATGCATTCTTTTATTAACTATTCAGACACTTAAAAAGTTCTTACTAATGTGTGTAGCTCATTTGGGTACTCGGTTTTCACCTGTTTCCCATTGAGCGAGTACCACTCGTGTTAAATATCTTTCTCTACCCTGTCAATTCTTCTGAGAATTTTGTGTGCTGTAATCATGTCTCCCCCTAGTTCTTTGGTCTTTCAGCAATGTGAGTTGCAATTCATGCAGCCTTTCCTCATTACTCTTAGTTCTGGACCTAGTCTAGTGGCATACCTTTAAAACTGTCTTATGTTACTCATCAGTGTAACAAAGTAAATTCATACTTCTACCTCGTATACTACCTTGTACAGGTAGTATACAAGGTTATAAATAATTCCTTATACAAATTTATGAAGGCATTTCTGATGTTAGCTAGCCTTACATAGGCCACTGATGATATCCTTTTGTTATGGGCTTCAGGAAACATGTTCAGTGTGATATCAAATCCTAGATCCTTCTGTTTCATGGAAGTCTTCATCTCCTATTTGGTGTCTGGCCTCCTGCCCCCTCCACCTAGCTTCATTACTTTACATCTGTAGACACTACTTACTATGCATTCTATGTTGTTTTCTGAAATCCACGTTGTTTGGTTTTCTGAAAACCTTATTTAGCAAACACTTTGGAACTGTTCATTTAGTGTTTCACACTTTTCTTTTTCATTCTTTGTGAATCTGTTCCCCATTCTCAACCACTAGATTTTATTCTTTAAATGCAACTTGCTTTTAGCAAATTAATGGAATAGGCCTGGTTTTGTTTTATATTTGTCTGCTATCCCTTTCTAAATGTTTTGTTCTGTCTCTCTCTCTACCACATAGTAGTTTCTTGCTTGTTTGTATTGCTGGTTTGTTTGAGGATTAGGCCTCTTCCTATATTGCTCCCATTTTTTTTGTCTTTAGTTCTCTGGTCCTCTTGCAGTATTCTAGTATATATCTAGTCCTGTATTCTAGTTCTGCATCTCTTATTTTGGTATAAATTTGTTTGTGCCTTCATCATATATTTATCTCACAAAATTTGGTATACATCATATTTTCTTGCCTAACAAGTCTTTTTAGTCAAATTCACCAAAGAACTTGCCAAGTTCTCCATAGTGTCCTCTCATGAAATCAAGTTTAAATTGTTTCATTTTACCATTCTCTTCTAGATTATGATGCATTGCATATATTATTTCCAAAAGGACATGGTCGCTTTTACCCAAGAGAGGAAGGTACTGAATGTCAAATATCTCTTCTTCTTTTCTGGTGAATATCAAATCCAGCATTGATGGAACATTCCCTTCCCTCATTCTTGTGACCTGCTTAACATGTTGTTACTTGAATGTCTCCAGGATGAGGTTTACAAATCTGCCAGTTGAAATATCCTCCATTCTTGCTTCGTAGGCCTCCCAGTCTATCGATTTCAAGTACCAACATTCGTGATTTACCTTTAATCATTTATCTACTCTTACTATAAATCACTCATGGTCTTGTTTGTTTTCCTGTGCTGTGTGCGTGTGTTTGCTGGTTTACTGTACCTGCTTTCATGTAAAAGAAAGTACATTTTTCATATTAATACTTAAATTTTAAATTTAGACAGGTAGTAAACATTTGAAAATGCATGTTTGTTTTAGACACACACCTCAATGATTTTAGTTTAATTTGATCAGAATTAAGACAAATAATGACCTCTTCTAATATGTATGAACCTTCTAACAGTGTCTTATGTTATAGCAGTGTTTATTATGCTTTGTTGTATTTATTAAAAACTTGGTTTCCATGCTCTAATGTTAATTTCTTTTAACTGACTTAGACACTTTTTGCCTTGACTCAGTCATTCATTCTTTCATTATCATTACCCTGTGTCCCATTTTTATTGGGTAGGAGGGGCATCAGCATGGAGGAGTGCAACGGGGCAAGTAATACTGGTATAGTAAAAGGTTATAGTTTATATATACTGTACTCTAATACAAAACATTACAAATCTAAAGACAGTTCATTTTATCATTCACAATATAAGTGTCACGGGTAAACAAACATTACCTTGGATACAAAATGGAAATGAAGCTGGTGTTAGTAGTTCGGCGTCAAGGCCACAGTTACTAAAAGTAGAAAAGCTAGTCTGTGGCCCTTAATGTGGAAAGATCAGGTAGCACTCCTCATATTTTACTGATAATTTATATATTTATTGAATTTTAATGCAAATGACTTTGTCACCAGGTAATTCATCGGGACTTGAAAGCGGGTAATGTTCTCCTAACAATGGAAGGAGGAGTAAAGCTAGGTATGTATTTCATATCTTGTTTAACTTGCTGATTTTTCTTTTTGTTTATAGCAAATTATTATTATGTATGTACTGGATAATCATTGGCCATTGGATACTTTTAGGCTGGGGGGGGGAAGGGGGAGGTGGTGAATTAGTGTCAACATTGGATAAATTTAAAGACAATACATTACTGTACTAAAATAATTATAACAGCTTCTCATAGTCTGTATGCACTCAAATGCAAATATGAATTGTATTTTAAAAAGTTGGAATACAAATTAAATCTTTTATTGTATGGATGTATATAAAAATTAAAAGCAAATTAATTTTCAAATAGGGCTGTATTGATTTGTTTTTTTAGAGTTGGAGGGAGTTCAGGCGTACTAAAAATTTTTAGGATGTCGAATGATACAAGGATAGATGTATAAAGATGTATAATGGAAAAAATAATATTGCCAACCTGATTAATTGTTGCTGACATATATGTAATAGTAACAAGTATTTTAATGGCAATATTGTTTTTGCTAATATCAACATTAATTTACATATTCAATACTAAGGTAAACATGTAATGAAAAATAGACCGGCTTTGCATTCCTTGACCTTGAAAACATGGGTATAACTATTGCAATATTCGTGGTGATATTGTTCTTTGTTCTGAAGATATTGAAGAATACACATTTTCCCTAATGTATACAATAAAATTAGTCATAACTTTAATTCATCACATATTTTTGTGAATGTTATGGATTTGTATATGCCTGGGATATTGGTTTGATAGAAGATTAATAAAATTAGTGTTGTGTAATTTCGCAAGAGAAATTGGAGGTGGCTGGATGGCATTGAAAGTAGAGTATTGCTATACATTGAGATGAGATGATATCTGCCTAAAACATAAACACCTAACAGCAAAAAGCAAGTCTGAATCTGTGTACACACCTACTGCGTGAATATTACTGTACATTGTTTATTTTATTTATCCACAGCTGATTTTGGAGTGTCTGCCAAAAACAAAAACACCTATGACAAAAGAGGTACTTTCATAGGAACTCCATACTGGTTAGCACCTGAAGTAATCTTGTGTGAGACATTCATTGATGCCAAATATGATTATAAAGTAAGTTCTCTTAATAATACTGTGTGTATTACTTAAAAGTAAATTACTTTTAACTTCATTAACACATTTAGATATTACCTATGTAGTTAATATTATTAAAAGATCAAGTATACTAAATTTTATGTATTGCTGCCTAACTTTTAACTAGTTATTATTTATCATACAGTCTTTCATCATGTATTGAGTATGATCTCTGTTCTACTAGGGCTAGATCTTAAGTATGCATGTACAATGACATCTCGATTTGGCAAAGCTCGTTTTGGCAACTCTGGTTGCAGTGCATTGTTCCAAGTTGGATTTACTCGCTGCCTCGCCAAATAAGTGTTTTGGAAGTTTTTCCAGCAAAACGGGGCATGTGCAGATTTGCTTAGGAAGCATGGCCAGAGTTTACAGACTTCCTGGAAAGTTGTCTATCATATGATGGATAGAAATTAAAATTTTGCTCAGTGAAATTAGCTTATAAAGCAGCTTTTCTCAACCTTTATTCCCTTGAAATAATTCCAGGTCATACTTTAGATAAACATGCATAAATTTCATTGGCAACTGAAAGAAGACAATTACTATCTTTGCTTTTGATACTGGTTAAATTAGAAAAATTAAACACAAAAATTACTAAAAAATACATTTGTATTTGATTAGAACTAGCCTAATTATCACTATATATCTCTTGCAGAACCCCTAGTTACCTTGGGGTGAAAAAAAACAAGCAATGTACTGTATTGCTAAAAAAAATACTCACAAGGGCCTCCTGAAGGCATCTCTGGTTGCAACGAATTTCTACTTCCAAGGAAATGGGATTGGTCCCATATAATTCAGAGAATAGAGGTTGCATTGTGTATTTATATGTTACCATTTATCATCTCTGAGATAAAAACATGGAAATTTATGACTGAAGCTATTACTATTTTGCTGCAAAACTTTATAGCATGTAAAGTTATGCTTGTGTAATGAACATATAATGAAATTAACTAAAATGAATTTGTTGCCTTAGGAATAAGCATATAGTATGGAATTGCACCTTTACAATTTTGGGTACTATGGCTTTGAAAGAGGACTAACCTACCTCTTAGTTGCATGACCACCATAGGAAGCCCATCTAATTTTTTATTTATTAGTTAACGGTATACACACACACACACTTATAAATATATTCAAGTTGAATTCATGGAGTAATAACTTGCAATATCCTTACTAAAATAATAACTGATAAAGTGGGTCTAAAATTATCTGATTAATTACAAATCACTAACTACAAATCACAATAATAATAATAGGTAAAATGGATTAGTGTGTGTTAAATCTTTGGGCTAAGGTTAGCATTTTTGTTCTTTTTTTCCTTTTATGGTTGTGCCTATCTTGCATGTCTATCATTACACAGGTAATTTACAGCAGTGTTTAGTGTTGAACTTGTGCTAATGAGTAATTTTTCTTACTATAGGCTGATGTGTGGTCACTGGGTATTTCGTTGATAGAATTTGCACAGATGGACCCGCCAAATCATGAAGTTTCTCCCGTCCGTGTTATGCTCAAGATACAGAAATCTGATCCTCCTAAACTCGACTACCCTTCCAAGTAAGCTACTCTTCAGGCCTTGCAAATATGAGACTATTGTACGAGAAAACTATTAACCAACATACAGTATATATTACACATATTTGTTTGAATCCATAATATAAAGGTGAAAATACTTTGTTTCCTCCTACTGTTTTTACTATGTATGGTTATGCCCATTCTTGTTTGTATTATGAATATTGTAAGAAAGTCCTCATTAAGTATATGCTGAATTAGGTAGTTTTTATTAAAGATGAGTAGCTTTTTGAAATATAGGGAGGATTTGTGCTTGGTAGGTTGGTTTTCTTATAGGTTATATACATGTAACAATCAATTATTTGTACTGTAGAATAATTTGCACTGAGAATGAGAGTTTTCTTGGTACATTTTCCATAATGAGAGGTTAGTGGATATGAAGATTAAATATAGGTAACTGAAAGCATTTCTTTTGCAGATATTCCAAGGAATTCAACGACTTCATTAGCAAGTGCCTTGTGAAGGACCCAGCTCTTAGACCAAGTGCTGTGGAACTTCTGCAGGTAAAACAAAGTTGATTTGGCTGCGTTGAGATTAAAATATTGCATGGATTCGTAAGAAAGGATTGTCTGTTTTCTTACAGTATTTATAATTTTATGTTTTTGGCCTGACCTTATTTAAATGGATTGAGATCAGGTATATTAACCTTATATTAAGACAAGGTTAAGTATTTTCATTTGTTTTAATTGTATGTGTTGAAAAATGCATCATTTATTACTTATGCGAGTACATATTGTGTTACCATCTTTGTGTTTTAAATGTTGGATAGTTAGAACATTTCTAACACAGTTGACTCCTAGTTTTGCATGGTAAGATTTAAGTCTCCGTGGTGTAGTGGTAAGACACTCGCCTGGCGTTCCGCTAGAGCTTTGTCATGGGTTCGTATCCTGGCCGGGGAGGATTTACTGGGCGCAAATCCTTGAGGTTATCTTGAGATGATTTTGGGGCTTTTTAGTGTCTCCGCGGCCCGGTCCTCGACCAGTCCTCCACCCCCAGGAAGCAGCCCGTGACAGCTGACTAACACCCAGGTACCCATTTTACTGCTAGGTAACAGGGGCATAGGGTGAAAGAAACTCTGCCCAATGTTTCTCGCCGGCGCCTGGGATCGAACCCAGGACCACAGGATCACAAGTCCAGTGTGCTGTCCGCTTGGCCGACCGGCTCCCTTGACTGTAGCCTTAACTGTAGCCCTTAACTGTAGCCTCTGTTTAACTCAACAGTAAAATGAGTACTTGGTTGTAAAAAGATACTTCGCGGCGGGGATTGTATTCCAGGGACCTGCCCGAAACGCTACGCGTACTAGTGGCTGTACAAGAATGTAACAACTCTTGTATATATCTTTAAACAAAAAAAAAAAAAAATAAAACTTCATTTTTACGCATGGTAAAAATTTTGATCGTATTTCACTTTAGTAATTACCCAAGTGTAGTTACAGGAGGAGAGTGTACTGAGAAGACGCTCTGGGTACTGGGTACTAAAGAGTACTGGGAAGATGTGACACTATGCTCGTGGTGTCCCGTCTTCCCAATACTCTTTGTCGTATAACACATTGAAACTACTGACGGTTTTGGCCACCACCACCTCGCTTAGCTTGTTCCAACCGTCTGCCACCCTGTTTGCAAAAGAGAACTTTCTAATATTTTTTGGCACCTTTGTTTCCTTAGTGCAATAATGTTTGTAATTTCCCTTTGTCGAGTCATAAATTCTTCAAAGTTTAAATTTAATGTCTTTTAATGGCTTTAATGCAATATTGAATTTATTAGATACTACAGATAATTCCCTCAGAAGCTTTTCTAAGATTAGGGATGGATGTTGGTTGTACTATTAAGTGGCTGGCTTGATATTTCTATTTCCACGAAGAACATTTGTATCTTTTGAAGTGACTGTACTAAAAAATCCATCTACCTTGTTAATCTTAATGGCTGGGTTTGAGGCTGGAGTTGGTGTAGTCAACATATTTAGATTACATGACTGTCTACTGTCATTGTTTAAATTGTGTGTGGGGGAATGACGTTTATCGTTAAAGCTCCACCACCTTCGGGACACTAAAGCTCCGAAATCGTCTCAAGATGATCTCAAGAAGATAACCTCGTGGCTATTCTACCTGGCACACTTGCATATCCTGATGTTTCAGTACTCCAGTTTAAGCTGTTACTGGTGGTTGTTTCCATCTGCAGACTAGTTTATTGTTCATTTTTATGCAGTATGGCTATAATTTATTAGACATATTTTGTTTAAAGTACAAAATCCATTGTAATATAAGATGTAAAGTATAACTAAAATATATGGTAAAGAAAAATATGAGATGTGCAGGAATATATTCCCAGGCACATCTTGGGAGTACACTATAAATCAACTGCAGTACTTGGTAAAATCTGGCTTATTTTGTATAATTTTAAGTGGATGACTAAATTCATGTAATATGCTGCACATGTGCAGATGATGAGTAACAATAACGAGGCTGAAGAATGTTGACCAAACCCCACACTAGAAGATGAAAAGACGATGTTGTGGTCCATCCTGGACCATTATCAAGTCGAATGTGAAGAGACGATTGATTGATGAAGATTAAGCCACCCAAAAGGTGGCACGGGCATGAATAGCCCGTAAGTGGTGGCCCTTTTGAGCCATTACCAGTATCAAGAGCTGATACTGGAGATCTGTGGAGGTGCGACTGCACCCTGCGTGACGGGAGATGTCTCCCGTGTGGAAGAGACGAGAACGGCACGGACATAAGTAAGGCAAGAGAGAGGTGAGGAGGAGGAGGAGGAAATCTTGGAGGAAGGTAAAAGCAAGGCAAAAGATTGGTGCAATAAAGGATATGTAGGAGGTAATAAAAGGAGTAAATGGGAACGAACTGAAACGTTGTTGTCTTTTCATCTTATAGTGTGTGGTTTGGTCAACATATGCTGGACCTCTTAGATTTTAGCATGAACATGAGATTGATAGCATTTTTAAATTTGTGGCACTTATTATGTATATATTGATGTCCTTATTAGAATTTTTATCCAAAATATTGATCATTAAATTACATTTTTTCAGCATCCATTCATTTGCAAAGATCTAGATGTGAAGCCCATCCGCGACCTTCTTCTGGAGTACAAGGCTGAAGTTGTGGATGAGGATATGGACGATGATGTAGATGTGAGTATTAATTATGTAATACTTATAATTATTGATGTTTTGTACTGCTTGTGATCTAATTGTTGGTTTGTGGCATTTACTAACACATTTTCTGTGCTTTTCAGTAGCATTAAGAGAATAATTTTGGAATACTTTAAATAGTGATAGGGAAATGTTTATGGTGTAATGAGTGACTAGCTTCATATTGATGTAGGAGAATGCAAGAGTTATGTCATATAGACATGACTGGTCAGTGTATACATGGATGGAATGATGATTGAATATAAGTAAGAATATGGTTGGACAGTTGGGCACCTTCACTTTGCTTGTTTGGCCCTCTGCTCCAATTAGTAATTGATGGCTCGGATGTAATAGGACTGGAAATAAGCGGAAGACCGTGTTTTGGGAAAAATGGTCCCGAGCTCCTTAACTGGTGTTGTAGTACCTTGGCTGATGTGTGGGGGGAAGGAACTAGGAGTATATGGTCATGAAGCTTGATAAATGTGGAGGATGAAAATTCATCAGGTAGTACAGTGGGTATGTTGTTGACTCTCAATCGCGTATCCGTAGTTCGATTCCCAGACAAAACCAAAACGGTTGGGCTTATTTCCTTACACTTGATGCCTTTGTTCATCTAGCAGTACTTGCCTAGTTGTGCTTGTGGGGGTTGAGCTTTGACTCGTTGGTCCTGCCTCTCAACTGTCAATCAACTTGTGTACAGGTTCCTGTACACAACCCCTGTAAACTGTGTGGAGCCTGTTTCCACCACATCACTGCCCAATGCATGACATTTATTAACTACCCTGACACTGAAAAAATTCTTTTAATGTCTCTGTGGCTCATATGGGTACTCGGTGAATAGGTACCCAGGCAGCTGTTGTGGGCATGCATCCTGGGAATGATTAGTAGCTCGACCTTGGAGGGACGTCAATACAAGCTTAATGAGCTAGCATGTGTGGAGGAAGGGGTGGTAAAGGCTTAGTTTAAGGTTTTATAGATGTTGGTATATGAGAAGACTGCTAAAAGTGAATGTATACATACACAAGCTTCCTGTCCCCTGGCAAAATGATTATTAAATTATGATTTAATTAAGCTGATGAATCTCTCTAAGAATATCTACATTTACTCCTGTACCACAGCTGGCTTCATTATTCACCATTATTTTGATCAACATTCACGTTTAGCAGTCTTTTCTCACATACAAAAATCACTGAAGCTTTAAAATAAGCACCCTCACCTCTACACACACCAACTCTTTTAGGCTTGTATTGAGGTCCCTCCAAGGTCAAACTACTGAACTGTCACTGGATGCAACCCTGCAACAGATAGATGCCCCACAAATAGATGCCCCACAAATAGATGCCCCACAAATAGATGCCCCACAAATAGATATCAACAGTTAGGTATCAATTTACTGTTGGGTGAACAGTAGCATTAGATGAAATGAAGTGTGCCTGACTATGTCTCCCCCTTCCGATAATCAAACCCGTGACTGATTGTGAGTCGAACCAAACTGAAATTTATGAAGGAGATGTTCAGAGTAGAGTAAGTCAGTGAAGGAAAGTGGTTGCTGCATGTAAGTAGTAGTTATGAAGAATGAGATAGTACTGTATAAGAAAAAGAGAGACCTGAATTGAGTGGTACTGTAGTGCCGACCAACCCTTGTGTACAAATGTGAGATGGTGGTGCTGCATGTGCATGAAACTGGAATGTAAATTTTAAGAAAAAAAAATATGGGGGTTCACAAGTTGCTCAATCATTGGTTGACACACGTCTTTCTCATAGAACAGGTAATTAAACAGGGAGATTAAAAAAATACAGCAGAAGCTGAACTGATCATATCAGGCTTCTGGGAGCTCCCAGTAGAAGAGCTCCCAGAACCCACTCCAAGTATACTACAGATAGGTTGATGATAATGGGGAAAGAGAGTATTTTAAGTGAATTTGAGGGGGAAGGGGATGATCAAGTAGATGGACAGTCATTGAGTGAGTAAATGGTGAAGATATATGAAGTTTCCATGAGGAATGGTACCATAGGGAATTAAGGCAGAATGGAATAATGTTATAATAAAGAATTAATTTTTGACATTTGTTAGGCCTTTTTTGTTTGACAACATGCTGGGAGCACTATACAATTAGTCATGTGATGTAGTGTGGTGGTAGTGATATGAATGTGTTTTCTGGAGTGTGATGCTTCTATTTCTCTGACCCTACAATTTGCAGTGTGAAAGACATTATGTATGTATGTATGTATGTACTCACCTAGTACTCACCTAGTTGTGCTTGCGGGGGTTGAGCTCTGGCTCTTTGGTCCCGCCTCTCAACCGTCAATCAACAGGTGTACAGGTTCCTGAGCCTATTGGGCTCTATCATATCTACACTTGAAACTGTGTATGGAGTCAGCCTCCACCACATTGCTTCCTAATGCATTCCATTTGTCAACCACTCTCACACTAAAAAAGTTCTTTCTAATATCTCTGTGGCTCATTTGGGCACTCAGTTTCCACCTGTGTCCCCTAGTGCGTGTGCCCCTTGTGTTAAATAGCCTATCTTTATCAACCCTGTCGATTCCCTTGAGAATCTTGAATGTGGTGATCATGTCCCCCCTAACTCTTCTGTCTTCCAACGAAGTGAGGTTCAATTCCCGTAGTCTCTCCTCGTAGCTCATACCTCTCAGCTCGGGTACTAGTCTGGTGGCAAACCTTTGAACCTTTTCCAGTTTAGTCTTATGCTTGACTAGATATGGACTCCATGCTGGAGCCGCATACTCCAGGATTGGTCTGACATATGTGGTATATAATGTTCTGAAAGATTCCTTACACAAGTTTCTAAAGGCCGTTCTTATGTTAGCCAACCTGGCATATGCTGCTGATGTTATCCTCTTGATATGAGCTTCAGGGGACAGGTCTGGCGTGATATCAACCCCCAGGTCTTTCTCTCTCTCTGACTCTTGAAGTATTTCATCTCCCAAGTGATACCTTGTATCTGGTCTCCTGCTTCCTACTCCTATCTTCATTACATTACATTTGCTTGGGTTAAACTCTAACATCCAATTGTTCGACCATTCCTGCAGCTTGTCCAGGTCTTCTTGAAGCCTCAAGCTGTCCTTGTGTATGTATGTATGTTTATTTTGTATTTTTTGTGTTCTTATTATTTTGGTATAGGGTGAGAGAATTGCATGACATTTAGATGATGGCAAACCAAGGTGATGTGGGGATGTGTAAGTACTAGCCAAGAATGATGTAGTGGGCAAAAATACTGCCCCAAGAAGTTGAAAAGTAAAAGCTGGTTTGCATGAGAGAATTTCAATGACAGCTGTTCACATTTAGGAGTAAACCAGATGATTATGAAAGGGTAGAGTTTGATGTGGAAAATAATGAGCATGGGGATTGAAGAATAAGCTATGATAAATTAGGTTTAGAAACAATAACTGACCTGGTGTCTGTACCCCTTGGTATCCAAGACCAATAAATAGTAATCTTTTTCCAGTTATGTTTTCACTCTCCCAGTACATGCATAGAGAAGAATTGGTACAGTAGTTGCTAAAAGACAAGTTGACAGAGGGGTATTAAAAGTCAGTTGGAGAGGTTGAGTAGTTGTTTGCATTAATTAATAAGATTTGCATTTCTTAATTTTTTTTATAAGGCAGTAAGGTAATTTGTACAGAACAGGGAGTTCAATAGGGTACAGATACTGTGTGTGTGTGTGTGTGTGTGTGTGCATAGAGAGAGAAGAGTGAGTTAGTGTTAAGTAAAATGGCACTGGTGTGGTTTTTGACTTGCTTACAATGTGCCATATATACACAGCTTCCACATATTGTGTTTTAAACAAACCTTTCATAGCTATTTCAGTATACATACTGAAAAAAGTCATTAATTAAAAGTCCATAATGCAAAAATTGATGATTTAAAAAAAATGAGATGATTGAGAAATGAGGGCAGACTCAACCAAGCATAAATATAAAAATACATTTACTTTCTGCCTCTGTGTGAAGGGCTAAACATGACATACATGATGTAACTTTGCCACAGTTATTTACAATATTGGTCTCTCTGGTGTTTTCATATAGACTATTTCTTTTTAGCTTTTCCTTACAATAGCCGATACTGTATACTGTTCTAAATATGTAGAATTTTTTATCTTTTCTGGTCAGGGCTGCACATAAGCACTACTGGTAGCATACATATTGAAGATTTTATATTTTTCAAAATCAATTATAGGGTTTAAGGTGGAAGGAGCTACCAACACAAACATACATCATAACAAACCTCCCTGTTCCTTGGCGCACACAGACAATGGATGTGGAAGTTAGCCTCACGTTGGTCAAATGTAGGATATTGGGACAAGTCTGAATATAGTATTTAAATCTTCATTTTATCCAGAATAAAAGTAAAACCAGAAGTCACTATATTGCAGAATATGGGAGTGCAAATTCCAAATCTATTACCCTGTTTGGAACTCTTAAAGCATAATGGAAGCATTGTACAAGTCACCTGATTATTTCTTGATGGTTTTCTACATTGTATTGCAGTCACAATTAGATACAGTACTTGATGACCAGATCTTTTTTGTTGTAGTTGCTCTTGTAGCTGCTCATTTGAGTGTTTTCTTATTTATTATTTGATTTTTACTTCTGTGGAGCTTATTGCACTTTGGAATTATCATGTAGGTGTGAAGGGTAAATGGTTAATTAACTGATGAGAAGTGAAAATGTGCAGCAGTGCACTAATGGAAAATGCTGGCTGTTGATTTTGTTTTTAATTCAGCATTCGAGAAAATGTAAATGACAGAGTACAGTACTGTTGTTGTAAAGAGAAAGGAGTCAACATGGAATATAAATGTTAATGTGGTTTGAGTAAAGAGTAGGGGGTGTTTAGGTGGTTTGAGCAAATCAAGATAATTAAAAAAAATAATGGCTTCAGATTAATTAAAGTGCAGAATAAAGGGTTATCTTGAGGTATCTTGAGATGATTTCAGGGCTTTAGTGTTCCCGCGGCCCGGTCCTCGACCAGGCCTCCACCC